ATTTTTATTGTATCAAATATATTTCGCAATGCGACGGATTTTATAATTGAACTAAGCATGATGGTAGGTGGTAGAATTTGACTGTATCGTTAGCGTAATTGATTTTAAACCATACGTTGCTACGTATGGCTAAAAATCAACGGATCTAATTCGATAATTTTTATTGAGATGTTATGTGTCTATCGCGACCACAGCTGCTGCATCCGAAACTTCGGGCCCTAGTTCGAATATTTTATTTTTATTAAAATAAGTTTATTATATAAGTTATATAAATAATATATAACTTAACTAATATATATCGCGTTTTAAACCGTTTAAGTGTTTTATTTAAATGTGTATATTTACTACATAGATGTTATATAGCCGACATATGTTTATCTTTCATCGAGTAGACTCCATGCGTTTATATCGTCCTCTATCATATAAACAAAATATAAAGAGAAAATAGATTAAATTTTAAATGAATTCAAAATGATTTCAAGTTAATTATAATAGTAAAATCGCTTCGCAAGCACAACTTAATACTCATTTTTTCATCAATGTAGATTTAGCGAGGACTTCTGTATAAGAAGTAAAGTCACGTTTCTTTCTATATTGCGGAAGTAGACCCCACCCTATCGCCTATTTAATAATTCTTATCCTGTCTACGTGAATGCGTAGGCTTTGTCCTTAATAGGGCTTTGACCATCTTAAAAAAGGAGTAACGCTTATTGTACATAATAGTCTATAGGGAGATTTTTTTTAACACAATTCAGACAGTAATAGACGTTGACAAAAGTAAATGTCGCAGTAATCTAATATATAAAATTCTCCTGTCACGGTGTTCGAACGAAACGAAACGGCTCGACCGATTTTCACCAAATTTCATATGTGTATTCAATAGGTCTGAGAATAGAACAACATCTATTTTTCATCCCCCTAAGTGATAAGGGTGGTTCACCCTTAATTTTTTTTTTTTAACAAAATTTTTAATTTCTATTTTTTTTATGATACAACATACAAAAATACATACAATCCTCAATTTTCACCCTTCTACGATCAACCCTTATTTTTTAATAGACATTTTAGTAAAATTATTTATATGGCAAAACAACGTTAGCCGGCTCAGCTAGTAAATATATAAATAACCTTTCCAAATGGTTTTCATGAAGAATAATATAAAAGTTAAAAAAACATACTTAACGGAATAAAACGCAAAATAAATTTAAATAATATACTTCGCGTTTCAAACCGTTAAGTGTTTAATTGAAATGTACTACTTGCGTAACATATAGTTTTTCAAAGTACGTCGTCCGATATTTTATTTGTTCTGCACTCCTTATTTCTATTTAGAGCATCCGTACTTATTCATGGAATACTTCAAAACCTCTGAAGCTTGAAGGAGTTCAGCTTCGGTTGAACCGAGAGAAATAAAGTTTCTTTTTATTGGAAATTGCGCAGAAATAGAGTAAGTCAGGAAGTTGAAGTTGTAACAAAAGGAAGGGGGGGCGTGTAGCCGTGGGCGGTTGACGTCAGAGGGAGACAGGGGGAGACAGGCGTAATGGTAAATGGAACATTTGGGCTGTCGATATCGGCTTATCGGTATGAAAACTAGGCTGTATAGGTGACGTAGTTGAACACCGCCTGGAGTTGTGACACACGCTGAAATTCGTTTTTGAACTTGTTCGCATACTTGAACAATTTTTCATTACTGCATTGCGTCAAAACAGAAAATTGTATCTTTTAAATCTCTTATTTACTTTGATAAAGTATAATTTTACTGTGTGCTACTAATATACCGTAACCGTTAATTAAAATTAATGTTTTCGCTATTCGGTGGCTTTACGTCTCAAATAAAACGATCGTAATAATATTGAATTAAAGGCAGGCTAGACAGAACCAAGGTTGGTAATTGTATGTATTAAAACAGATGTGTTGGTCGACCTTCAAGGACAAAACTATTGTAACTAAGCTTCGACATTAGTATTATTGTAGTTTACGCTAGTAGTATACGTTTAAATAAAATACTTTTGACGGTTTAAAACGTGAAATATATTATCTTTGCTGCTGCCCAATATTGTAAATAACTAAGATATTTCGTCTTTTAAACCGTTTTAAGTGTTTCATTTAACTGGTTAAAAATTTTGTTTTTTTTTATGAGACAACATTCTACGCCCGGAATTTATTTCGTAGTTTATTTAATAAAAAGTTTATATAATTTACCTACCACTATTAAGCCGACTGTGTTAGTGACAAATGACAAGTAGCAAAGAATACTTTAATGGAACATTAAATTGCAAGTCAATTTTGCAAACACCGAAACAATTCCTGTGTTTGAATTTTTAAAACTAGATTTAAATGTAAAGATATATTTGAGTTAAGCTCGGCGTCTGTAGCTTAGGTAAATAAGCTTATACGAGATAAATTGAAAGCTTTCACGAAGCTCATCCCGAACTATACGTGTCTGCAATATGTATACACCGAAGCAGCTAGTATAACCGCTGCGTAATTTAAATTATTATTCACTCCGTCGCTTTTAAAATAGCCAATGCTATACGGATATTGTTGAAAAGGTTTTGATTTCAAATTGACAAACGAAAAAAGATGTTTTTGCGTTAAATAGGCTAGTTATATATAGAATAGCTTAGTTTTCTATACTAATATATAAAGCTGAAGAGTTTGTTTGTTTGTTTGAACGCGCTAATCTCAGCAACTACTGACTCGAATTGAAAAGTTCATTTGTGATTCTTAGCGTGATCAAAACGTGCAATAGCGTGCGACCAAAAGGAGAGAAGAAACAGCGTAAAATGTAAAAAAAAATGTGATAAGGAAAAAATTCATCCTTGTGGGTTTCCGATGTTTAAAATACTCAAACAATATGTACGAAAGAATTATTTCTCTTAAAATGATCTAAAACAAATCCTTTACACTGTATGTATATATCTTTCAAAATTCGCTGACACAGTTAGTTTGTTTCATAATTTTGTTAGCCGAAAGATGTCCTATAATCTGTTACGGGCTTAATAATATTCCTTCTCCCTTATAATCCCTGTAATAGTAGATTGGCTGTCTATTTGCAAATAACATCGCCTCAGCAGCGCCGTCTAACAATTGGGCCGGTTAGGCCTCGTAAAAGCGATATCAGGCGCGTTATGATAATTTATTCGCTGAGGGTAGACGCAGATTTGCAAGTTTCCGCCACTCCTTTGTTTAAGCGAAACAAAAATTTAAATGAGATATCATTGTTTATTCATCCTACGCCGTTTATGTGCTTTCATAAAAAAAATATTTAAAAATAGTATAATCCACCAACAACAGTAGATGCGAAATTTACATGTACTGTAAAGGCTGTCAACATATCATTAGAAGTATTTCTTCGAGCGATCGAGGAGCTAACAACGTCTCCCGATGACGCCGTACGCTCGTGATGGCAAAACGTCGAGAAAGCTCTTCTCGTTCACGCCCGAAAACAGTGTATGCTGAACGATGAAGTAGCGTAAGATGAAGCCGCATGTTATATCAACAATTGATATAACATGCGGCTTCATTGGCCACATAAATATTAATGTTGTTCTGTTTTTATTATTTGTTGTTATAGCTACAACAAAAATATACATTTTGTGAAAATTTCAACGTCCTGCTTCTACCGTTCTTAAAATACACCTCGGCCACGAACTGTAAAGTAGTAGGGACTTTTTTTATGTACAGAGCCCCCAAAATGAGAAGACCCGAAAACCGTGACCTTTGTTTACTTTATCTAACCACACCACCCCTTCTAATTGTGCGCAACTATATTGCGAAGGGGTATATAGCTTCAAACAACTGTACGGTTCGTTGAAGGTGCATCGATTAGGTACATATGGCAGTTATTTCCTCACATATGTACACATACATGTATGCATGATTGTATGTGTGCGTATTTTCTGATCTATTGGTAGCAATTATTAATTATATAATATTATATAAATTTAAGTATTTAAAAAAATTACTAAATGTCCAAAGCATAGAGAGGTCGATAGCGCATCTGTTGACAGATGTTATATGGCATAGGTATATATATCACTTTTCATCAGAAATTTCCGTATCTGTTTTTTCTCCTCTGTCAAAAAACTCGTACATACGTGTGCTATACGTGTCCACAGAATATTCATCGATCGTTTAATACGACACTATTACAATGTAATATCAAGAAAATCCACCAAAACTTTTCCGAACCACTAAATCCGAGGCTTCTTTAAAGGAAAATTCAATAAAGTGATATATCTCGACGTGAAAGCATTCCGACCGGATTAACATCCACCAAGCCGTGATAAGATATCGTTTGACATTATTGCTTTACTTAGTTTTTGATATTGGAGACGGCGCCTTTAGTTCCTTCAAATATGATTACAGGTTCCCAATTGTCTTTTCTCAATCAAAAATACATTAAAGCCTCCGTGGATCACTCGACAAACGCGTTACGTAAAGCTTGAGAGCTTCTTGGTTTGAATCCTGGAAATTCCAAATAACGGCACGTGTAAGGCACATAAGTCTTATCAATTACTTTCCTTAATTATAATTGTGTTTAAAAAATACTAATATATTTCGCGATTTAAACCGTAAAACGTGTTTTATTTAAATGTAACCCAGTGAAATGGGGTAATAACCTTTTCGAATTTTAGAGTTCTCATTTGATATATACGTCATATAAGAAACTACCCTCTTAATTTTAGGCGGCGAGGCATGAACCGGCAACCACAGTGCTGCTCTAATCAATTGAGCAAACGTTTCTGTGTGACGTGAACGAAACGTGAACACGTCATTGACAAATTTCTTAAATTCCATTGATGCTGCAATAACGTAAAAAGTATTTTACGTTACGTAAATAATTTTAAATTACTTGCCTACTTATTAATAATCAGTAGTACAGTGAACCTAACTTTATCCTACAAAAACTAGTCAATAGAGTTCGTCATTGGGTGACTAAAAGGCACCTATATGTACTTTACACTATAATTGTATTTTATATTCTATTGTTTCAGGTTACGATATGATCACATCGCAAAATGGACACACTGATCTTATGGTAAGTCTATATAGAAAAATTATAATAATGCTTATTATATGTTTCAAAATGTAGTTACCAAAGTAATTATAAAGATTGTTTATTAACTCTTTTATTTATTAATTCTGGAAGTGTTTTGGGTATTTTTAATTGTAGCTGCGCTAGATACATACTCGCTTGTCAACGAGTCTGTTCTTTTTCTATAAGACGACGTATCTTAAAAGTTGCATCAAATACTGTCTATAGTTTACGCGAGTAGTAATAAAACACTTTAACGGTTTAAAACGCGATCCCCATGACCACGGCTGCTGCAAAGCATCCGAAACGTCGGGCCGAAGTTAAAAATCATTTTCAAATAAGTTTAACGAATATATCGCGTCTTAAAGCGTTAAAGTGTTTTATTTTAAAGTTGCATCAAAAGCGAGATCGTTATTGAAGAACAGCAATTCCCAATGCAATCTATCCAGCTCACAGCAACCGATCCGCCGAGTATCCTTCACTTCAACTTGCCATCCATCTCTCGCTCTGCACATTCATCGGTTTTCGTTTATTTCTTGTAATGCATCTTCTGAGTGTCTGAAAGATATCAATATCTTTGTCTTGAACACTGAATGACGGAAGCGACCAAAACTTTTGTTGAGTATTTCGATGGTATTCTTCTGGTTCTTCTGGTGTTATTATCTTTAATGACGTGTATCTTAAATATTATGTGTCTTAAAAGAATGTCAAACTTCGAAAAGGTTTTATGTAACGTTCATAACACTGAGTTACGTTTAAATAAAACTCTTTTAACGGTTTAAAACGCGAAGTATTTAATTTACTTATTTACAAATTCAATATCGATTATAAGTTGAAAACGCAGGACTTAATTAAATATATCCACAGCGTTCCGTGCTGTTGCTAAAATCGATTTTTAATTTATAATGTATATATAGCGCCATCGCGTTAAATGTCATCATGTCAAAAACATGAAGTTTTAAAACTTATTTACAATTTAATTTAAGTATAGCCCGTCGTTTGGGATGCTTTGCAACAGCTGTTGTAATAAGATGTAGGATGTTCCTAATGTCAAAGTAAAAACTGCAACGCTAGCGCCATCGTAGTAGTCAAAACTGTGCACTCCTAGCGTAAATTATACACTAGACTATAGACAATACTTACTGAGATTCGCCTCTATCAAAGTGTAACGTAAATACCAATTAAAAAAATATAATTAACACAAGCGTTGACTCTACGAAATACGATGAGAAGAAAAGTCAAACATCAATTTCGTCGGATAAGCAAGACTCTTCATCGACAATAGAATTTATCTTGATTCCCAAGTGGGCTTAATTTGCACCTGAATGCTCATTTAAGCTTCCCTTGTGGATTAATTGTTAAAAGTGATGATTTTTCTATATTTAAAATATAGAAAAAACAGTGTTATATTAAGACTCCGAAAGGTTTGGTGGGCTCGTGGTAAGTCGTGGGTTCGAGCTCCACCGAGTCCAACATTTATCTAATCAATTTATAATTTTTCTAAAACATGTTGTATTTTGCCTGGAATCTGTATATTAAATGGATGGTAGGAATATAGCGATTCCATACTGGTGACGACCCACCGTCTACAGATGAAAAAGCTGTGAGGTTTAATCACGTTACGATTTCCGTCTGTGGATTTCCGAATATCCAAAGACAAAATACAACGCATCTAGTTTAGATGCTATGCGTGATTGTCTGTTCTCCTCTATCATTAAAAAAACAGTGAGAGTTTGATAACCCGCGAAGGTAGTTAAACCGCGAAGGTGAAATGGTAGTCAATGTGGACTTATCACCAGGTCTTCTATCAGTGTCGCCAAAAGAAAGTAATAATTGTCAATAAGTAATTTCCTAGAATGAATGTCCATTTTGTTGTTTCAGTCGTTTTCTTTGTGTTCATAGCATATTTAAGTCAGGATGGAGAAATGTTATTTTTTTAAATAGTAAATTGTACTATCTGTTTTCTGAACAACTATGAGCCTACTGTAGTTAATAGTCATAATCTGTGGGTACATTATATGCCTGTTTGAGAAAAAGTAAAATCAGGTAACAATTGTATGGAGTAAGTTATTTTACATCTGCGGTTGACAGACGAGTTTCACATTCATCTGAAGTAGGCGAGCCCTTAGGGCACCATTTGTATGCAAATGCTAGATCGATACCAAATGTTTGCCTTCGCAGTGTTAAGTTGGATATGCCCGACGAAATTATTGTATACATTTACATTACTAAGGTCTTTCTTCACGTTATGAATGATTTAAAACTGTAATTATGATGATGGACTGTCGTGGTCACAGCACGTTTCAGATGCTTTGCGGCAGTCGTGGTCACGGGGAGACTAAAGATGGAGGATGTCTCTGACGTCAAAGTATAAATTGCTACCCTAGCGCCATCTGTTCCGTCGAAGTTGGTATTTGGCGAAACTGGCCGAGTCCTTGCAGAAATGACTAACGGTGTCTTTGCGTTTGTTTTCAATAAGTTTAACTAATATATATCGCGTTTTAAACCGTTCAAGTGATTTATTTAAATGTGTACTACTCCCGTAAACTACAGACAGTGTTTGTTTAATATATCTTTAAAATACTTAGTATACTATGTTTGTATTTATATGACATAATATTCTTGATACACGTGCAAGCTCCGAACGCCTCTTGACCTAACCACTCGGCTAACATTTCAATATTACCTCTGACGTACCTCGCTCCCTTTGTTTACTTGGAAAATTATATTTTCGATTCATTGTATCGCAAGGTTTGCATTTGGTTATGAGAAGATATTATACTTAATCTTATTTAAACATAGCTTAAAAAGCGATTATTAATTGAAAAAATTTACGACTAGGGCCGAGCTTGAACCGGCATCCACAGCCTTCCGTGCCGTTGCTCTAACTAATTGAGCTACCGAGTCCTACACGTTATCGTCGATTTTATCAATCAATTGATACATGTGTACCTTTGCGCAATGTTATTTCAACTTTAACACTTGGTCTTTTTTTATAATTTTTAATAGATTTTTAACCTTTGTTTATAAAGTGCCATCATGTGCAATAAAAAAGAAAGGTATACTTACTTTTCGATTCTTACTGCGAAAGTATATTTTCTTGTCCTTTTTCGGGGGGTAGCGCCCGATTTAAAAACACCCCAATACTATAAATCATAAGCCCATAATTGGTTTCTATAAATTGAGGCTAGTTTCTGTCGGAATCCGAACCCCGAACCCTCCCCAAGTGGGGTCGATTTCGGCTATAATAACCGTCTCTACCCTGCGCCCGTGCTGACTTGGTCATACTTTGATTTATATGAATTTTATGTTAGAGCCACTTGGAGGCAATTTTAGATAGTTACATTTAGTGTAACCATTGATATTATGGGCTTCTAAGATTTTTAACTTGCACAAATACATAAATACTTGCTGACCCGTCTTCGTTTGTATGTTCAGGGTGAAATTAAGTTTATGACATATAGATTCATTTTATATAATGTCTTTGTTACACCACATTTTATTGTGAACTTTTTGTGACGTCACAAGTCTAAGCATTTATTTTCAACCAGACTGCTTGAGCCTTTTTGGAGTTATATGTAACACGATTTTTACAACAGATAAGATTTAGCGTGACATTATATGAGAACTTTTAAATAGGCACGAGAGTTTCTTGATTCCGCGTGTCATTTACTTTACTTATAAAAATGTAATTTTATGGCTTAAACTTATTTCCACACTTATAAAGCAATTGTTATAAATATATAAGTATGACTTAACCATGTTAAAAGTGTTATAACAATAGTATTGTTGTACCCTCGACATATTTCTTTATCATTAGACTAGATTGGTTACAAAATAAAATTTTCACCTTTAATATTGTTAAAAATATAGATCGTCTAGACAACAAAGGATGTTCAGATAAGCATCAATTAGAATACAGAGCACGTACAGGAATAATTATCCCTTCGGAAGCATTAATTGGAGATCTGAAGAGGTCACCTCAGCCCTGTCAATTGTGTTGCATCATAATATTCAGACCTACAATAATTGTTTTCTTATTAGATTATACTTATATACGATATAACGGGCTTGAAATCCCTTCTCTGCGTATAGATGTGTTTGTCATAATGATCGATTTTATTTATATAAGAAGTTGACCCGACGTGAAATCCTAAATAATTACCATCTGTGTTATCTCCAGAATTCAAACCCTTCTCCTTCCTTTATCCTTCTCATTTGTGTCACAATTTTTTTCCTACAAAACACAGTATAAACTTATAGACGTTAATACAGAAACTTGCATAATAAGCAAACCAAGTGCGGGTACGTACGGACCCTCACACTGAAGGTTCCGTACGTATTGCTAGGTAAACAATTTATATCATTTGTTACATTTTGTTGTTTCGAATTCCTGTTACATATTTAAAATGTTGATATCTTGAAAAAAAGTTAAAACATTTTGGTATGGGTGCCTACCTTAAATATATTATTTCTGTTTGCTATTAAACAGGCAAAATAAATACATAGTGTAAAAATTTCGTCACTAGCTATCGCAGTACTTTAAAATGTTCTATCAAACAGAACTCTTCTCTAATATATGTGCTACGTTAGCAAGTAAACATAATAAATCCAGAAGAGCGATCTCGTGTCACTCGCTAAAAACCTGATGAATGGCTCAGCAAGAATGTGGGGCTTTGTCAGGCAAGTCATATTTCAGTGCTTGGTGTATCGTATCGATCTAAAACTATTTTGACGTTTCAAGGAAAACCTTTGTATTTGTAAAAGTGAAATAAACTTATGTGAATGTATAAAAGGAAGTAGTGACGCTAGCTACCTCCATTTCTATTTAGTTCAAAATAGCTTAGATTCCGGAAACATCGAATTTGTCCTGTAGAAGCGTGTTCTTGTATGATGTGACATAAAGTCGACGAGATGTTGTTCAGGTTTTGATATGACATATCAAACATATCGGAAATGATTGGTTAAGGTAATTTTGTCTGTTGTTTGATAGAGGTAGACAGATCAGAGTGCGGTTCACGTGATAAAAGCTACCACAGCCATATAACATCAAAATATAGCGATGTTTCTATCCATTTAGTGTCCAGATTTCTAGACGAAGTCCAACATGTTTCAGAAAAATTACAAATTGATTTGAAATATGTTAGACCCAGGGATCCAATCCACGACCCATTGCCGCCAGTATACCCACGAGCCCGTCTATAATAGGAAATGTTTTTAAATTTTAATAAACAGTAATACAACAATGGAAATACTTTAATTGTATTATTTTTATGTTGTTTTATATAATTCCATAAAATAAAATCACGAAAAGAATTGTTACATTCGTTACGTTTTAATGTAACGGCTGCCAGTAAATCTTCTTTTTATACCAAACCATTTGATTAGAGGAGCCCGTTTGCTGAATACAAAAATAACTCGGTACACCCATTTGCCTGAATTCACTGTACCCTCGAGAGTCCTTTCCGGAAAGCCCTCATAGTTTGGGCCTTGGGGCAATGCTGAAGCAGCTGGGTAGATTGAACTTTGTTTTTTCTGTAATTAACTGCCCTAAATAAAAGAATGAGTTTTATCTAAACTAATTGTAAAGTGAATTTCATTTCCTCTGTGTGGAGCATGGGGTAGATAAATGTGTCTATTTCACTCATTTTGCCTAAAAACGGGCTGAAAAGATCTCTTAGTTAAGACTGACTTATTATTTTTAATATTTTCATAACAGTGGAGGAAATACTAGCGTAGGATTAACTTAATTGAAAGCAAAATACCCCAGGCATATAACATCTGAATCTGTATGAAAATTTAAAACTTCTTGAGTACTTAAGATTAGTTTAGAAATACAACTATGTACATGTAAGATAGGGTATCTTATCAAATTCGAACTGCTACAATTTTTGCATGATTATCAGTTATTGCAAAGAACTTAATACCTGGGTTACGAAGTGTAACAAACTAAAAATAAAACTGTATCAAACTATACATACACTAGCTGTGTCAGCGACATCGTCCGCGAGAATCGTTATTTTGGGCATCCTAATTGTTTTTGCAAATCCCGTCATCATTGTAAACTTAAGCTGTTACCCATGGCAACAGTCGCGTCCCTTCCCGTCGTTCTTACAAGTTAATCTTAAAAGATAGTCATATAGCTTCACTGACGTTACGTTTTTTGTTAGATCATTTAAAGGGGAGTCATTCTTTGATACAAATTTTTTTGGGTATCTTGAACCGCTTTTGCAGCGTACGCCTCGAAATCCCATGATGATTTCTCGCTGTATCTTCGTTTGTACTTGTCGCAGTGCGATGTTTTACAACCTTCCTGGATAAATGTTCTAACCAACACAAAAATAATATTTAAATTCGAACCCGTAGTTCCTGAGATTAGTGCGTTCAAACTTTTCAGCTTTATATATTAGTATAGATAGATGTTCACGACCACCCAATATACCAAACTGTCGATCTATTTATACACAAGCTCTTTGACAATATCACAAAGGCAAGCCTCGCCTGCAGACTGCACGACTCTTCAATTTGGAACTGCTGGTGTTCTTTTCATTGGGGAGGTTGTTTCTCTGAATTAATTAAAACCACCGAAACACCACTATTGAATAGCCGGGGAGCTGAAGTGTTCAATGATGGCGAGGGTCGCTCCAATTACGGCGGGCACTTGACACACTTGTACTGATAGCAAAACTCGTTAAATGTGAAAGGAAAGGGGATGATGAACACAGTTTTGTGCTGACCGTATTATGTCTTTTTAGTGATTTTTTGTGATAGATGACAGACGAAAGTAGGGCTCACTGGATGGAAGATGAACTAAAATTTTAATAAGACGCGCTGTCTTGGTTTTGGGCATTTGCAAATACTTGAAGCCGACACACGATTACACTTCACGCCCTTTTTTGTTTATTTAATTTCGATATTTCTTAAACCCATGTCTAAAAGCCTTACATATTTCAGAAATAATAAAAAATTGATGTTCGGAAACGCCTTTGACGCGGTAGGAATCGAATCTATAACCTGTTAATTATTAGATGCACATAATCCTACCATTAGACCGATGTTGTAATACTTACACTTACTTTCGTTTTCGAATGTGGACATTTGGAAAAATGTTTGTTTAATTTTCGGATTTTACTCAGACTTTTCAAGCAATAGCTTAAAGTATGCTAGAATGTTCCATCACTCTCGTGTCTCGAGGAGGGCGTTAAGCCCCGCTTATTGAAACTAATTTAGTGGGTAGCCTGTTAGCCTATTCTGGAGAAACATCGTGCATCAAAGCTCTCATAATCCTTCTTCGTATGGGAAAGAAAACGCCTCGCACAGGCTTAAATAGGCGTTAAAATGTGGTAGTTTAAACCGATTACATATTAGATTTTTTTTCTTCTTGAATAATCTCATTTCAATCGTGTCGGACATACAGCAGACACACGCTCGCCTGTTTCACTTACCGCTTTACAGACAAGTAGTTGACCAGACTTTACCTGGCAACACCATTGACCATTGAGATATGGAGACGATCAAATTAACTTTAACCAGAAGTCCTAAGTGTAACAGTTTATCTTTGCGCTGTAGATCTTTGAGCTAGTAATAGCTCAATTCTTATCTATCTTTTATAGGTCACGTTTCTATACTTAAGAAATGTATTCGAGTCGGGTCGCGACTAGGTTATGTAAAAACTTTTCAGTGTTTCACGAAGCCGCGGCTCAAAGTGAATATGAACACCAAATGCTGGAAGTTTCAACTTTTGCGGACACTACGAGGACATTTATAGTATGTACTTAACTTTAAGCTATTCTGTGAAAGAAATTCTAAGTATTCCACTGGGTATTATGTGCGCTTGTCGTTTTCAAAGTTACATATTATATTTAGTCTTATCGTAGACCATATTTAAAACTTTAATATTTTTCATATGATGGCTCTGTAGTGTATGCGCGAGAGTTGTATGTATCAAAAGGTTAAACAAATTCGAAGACGAAACGCTGAGCACGTCGGTTCAAGTCCTGCTCGAGTCGTAATTTTTTTTCAATTTATTATCGACTTTTAATTCATATAGGTCTTTTTGTTAAAATTTTTAAAAGGGTACTGATCCCTACTCCTGTCGGTCACCAAGCTGAAAATATACATATTTTTGGCTTCTAGATCCGTTTGCGCAGCGCGCGCAACGAATCAAAGATGAACATTTTCCCCCCCTTTCTACATTTTCCAGCATCAGAATTATAAAGAAATATTTATAATCGATTTTTAATTTATATTAAGAACTATTTTTCTCTAGAACATATGCATTAAAATACTCATAGTCTCCCATTAAAATACTTATAGCACGTATTTCGACGTATCTTTGACGTATTTCGACATATAGACTAAACCATTCGTAGAGCAACTATTTACCATCCGCAGATTAAAATGAATGAATGTTTAATTTTAAGCTATTCTGAATTGCGTTGATTAAAGTTTGCATCTGGCCGGCTTGTGTGGCCTGCAACGCGCATGCAATTTCAATGCGGGTGGCTTTTAAAGCAAATTTGAGTGCAGCTTTGATATGCCTCTGAGCTTTATATAAGTCGAAACATTTGGACGGCCTCCTTTGTCGATGGTCGCAATGCATGACTCGAGATGTGGTTTTGATTCCCACCGGATCGACATGTTTCCAAAAATCCATTTATAATTCTTCTGAAACTTGTTGGACTTATGTCAAATTGGTGGTAAAGATGTCGAAATACCGATTTACGAAGCACCGTCTACAAAAGAAAAAACCGTAGTGTTTCGGTTTTAGCCTGTCAACTTCAAAACCAAAATAGATCGACAACCCATCGTATCTATATCGCATGTCTGAGATTTTTACAATATACTTAAAATTAGTAATTTGGAGAATGCGACCCAGTACCAGTATCGACTGTGCTGATGAGTGCATTTCACTAATTTTCATGTGTATATCATACATATATTTTTTATAACAGTGACCAAACTGACCTCCATAAAATCACAATGTTAAAAGCTCCTAATCTCTTGCCCGGGAGCAATAATAAATTAATACCCAGTACCCACTAAGTCGGAGTGCTTCCAAATTGCCACTTATGCATGATAACGACTCATTTCCCGCCAAAACTCATTTCGCGTGCGAAATTATTTATTTTTATGAAACGCGTTAAGCAAACATTTATTGTCGAAGGTCATTTGCAAATTTTAAATACACATAAGCGATTCACGATTTTTTTCCTTCTTGATTAAATACAACACTTTTTAACGGTTTGAAATGCGAGCGCTGTAAAGTATTAGAAACTCTTTACTAAATGAGACTATGCTTTTATTTATGTTAAATATTACTTAACTATTAACCATTAAATAAATCTTCTATTTTATGTTTACCGGCCGTGTATTAGCTACAAATACAAGTTCAAACTGTTAGTTGTAATATTATTATAGAAAACATCGTTACTAGAGCGAAATCTTTAAAATAAAAAGGTTAGTACCTTGAATCGCAAAATATAGTAGCTAACTTGTTTTATGTACAGGAACCGTGGTCACGGGGTGAATTAATAAATATATTTTGAGTTATAATCCCTTATAATACGCATTTATGATATGCTATTAACTGGAATTAATATTCAAGTGTTTAAGGCGTACGAGTGCTAATATTTTTTTTTTACTTTCAGACGCAACAATAGTAGTGCCGTCTTTCTATCTGCTTCTGGATCACTTCTCTGATAGCCAAATACTCAGAAGAATCGCCCTCAATTCATGGACACGAATACAGGTTCTACTTTGAAGAACTTTTGAGGTGAGATATAAGTAAGAGTTTTAGAAGGTGAAATTAAATTTTATAGGATGTTTCAGTTTTAACAAATCATGGATAAATTTATCAATTTAGGTATATGTATGAAATTAAATATACTTTAAATTTTTTTTAATTTATTAGACTTGTAAATAAAAATTTTTGTTTGTCTGTCTGTTCATCGTGATTCTACAAAGTGTTCAACAGAGCTATATAACTGAGAAGAACACCAAAAAACTCAGTCCGGCTTTTTTTAACATGTCTTATAAACTCACACATTGTTGTGAATTTATTAACGTAATATATTAGTAACCTATATTCATTACTTTTGGAACATTATCTTTTTAACGCCACGAGGGGTCTTTGGGCCTCGGAAACTTATGTTTCGGACTCCACCACCCCAGAAGCAGCATCTACTCTCGGAACTCTCGTAGGACAGGCCTTTTAGTTAGAAGAATCCTGTACTATACGTAACTACTATCTCTTCCTAACGTTTCCAGGCAGGGATAGTAGATGCCCCACGCGGCGCCAGTCAGCGCCATGTCGGCCCCGCCGCGCCACCCCCACTTCTACACGGTTGAGGTGGGCGACACACGTTTCACAATCCTCAAGCGCTACCAGAACCTGAAGCCCATCGGCTCCGGAGCACAGGGAATCGTATGGTAAGCACCAGCCGGGAGAGCATGCGCGCTACTGCATTACTCTCGCGAGTTTAGTTCACTTCAATCATATTGAGCCGTCGGGTCAAAATGCTGAAGCCGTTCTGTTACATGCCTATTTTAAAATTTGATAAACCGTTTATCAGCTGACTCAATAACGGAGATAATCTTGGCTCTATCATAATGACGATACAACGTGAGACGATCAAAGTTTTCGTAGCTTGCATGCTAGACGGTTGATCACCATGAGAGAGAGAGTGAGAATTTTGGAGTAGCGTTAGAGAGATACTTAAAGAATGTAAAGTTTATGTGGATATTAATTTCCTTCTAAGTAAAATAATGTGAAGGATAATGACGAACGTAGACCAACAAACAGACTGCTTTCGACCATCAATGTATTATAGATTGTACAAAGAACCCTGGATGGTGGATCAGTATTTCTTATTTTATTTGCTATACTTTCTATTGTAAAGCACGCTTGAACTCTTATGATTGCGCATGCAAACATTTTCCCATTTTCCTTAGCTTCCATCGACGAGAACTATGCATAATTATAGTAAGTAGTGTTTATGCACTTATTTTAGTACCGTTCTTTCTGTAACACGCTTTACCGCAAAGCAACGCAATCCCCTTTTTATGTTCACTTGTTTTTAGTGTCAATGAACTTATACCGAAAGAATAAATGGGAATGTTAAAGCGAATATAGGGCGACGGCGCATCTCGATGAGATGTTGGATTTCGGTGGGGACCTACCATTAATCGAAGTGCTTCTCTCTCCTCCTCAGTCCCAAGACACCGCTCTATTCCCAATAATATGTTTCTCTTTATAGCTGATCGAGATATATAGGCAGTAGCAATGGTTCACTTTTACTCGGTCACCCTTGGTGACACCGTGTTCACAATCCCCACGCGCTATACCGAGTTGGTGCGCCGCGGCGCAGGCGCACAGGGGACGGTGTGGTAAGACCCAACGCTTGCTGCTTCACTTTCATCGCTTTGGTTTTCAGGACTAACTCCCTAAGTGACTAATTCTATCGGTGTTATCCAGTTTCTCTCTGGCCCTCTAGCCAATGTGAGCTGGCGAGTGAGCTCGACATTCTTCAAATGTGCCCATAATGACATTGTCTAGAGGTGGATTTATTTTAATATCAATGTTTTGTTTATTAAGTGTTCTTGTGGGAAGGTTTTTCGTTGGATTGTGGTTCGGGCTATCATTAACTTCGGAAGTGTTACTTCATTTAAAAACACAGTAAACGTACTATTTGAATACTTTCATCGATCAATAACGAAAACAGCAATGGTAGGTGAGCTAGGCTGTTACAAATAGAAGTAAAGCTCTATAATTTGTAGTATTAATAGACTACTTTTCTTTAACCCATTTTACATTCGATTTCTTTGCATGGCTTTTATTTTATATTGATGTTTTCTTAACATGTTTAAATTTAAACTATTTATATTTTATAAGGAACAATTAAGCTTGGTCAGCTCTTAAATTATGTAATGCAGTAAGAATATATTAAAGAACAATAAGTTTACTTTAAGTTAAAAATATTTTAACGAACTTGTGACTATAGTGTAATGCAGGATTTCAATAAAACAATAATATCTAAGTGGTGTAGGCATTTATATGTATGTCTGTTTATAATATAGGAATAAAAATATTTTTACCCAAATCAATAGGGGCACAAATTATCTTAAAAAAGACAATGATTTTGATTGACTTACCAAGTTTTATATAGAAAAATAGCTTTTATCTAGCTTCATACCTATAATATGTTAGTAATAAAATACTACGGGATCCAAAGCGAAGGGAGAGTGGAAGCTAATAGGGCTTCGACCCCTTAAAAAAACAAATGACTTATCCCCTTTTCCCCTAAATAGTGAGACATTAAATCCGTCCATTTCATAGGCCGCCGCCGATAAAATAGAATGGAGTCGAACCAAAAATTATAATACGAGGTAGCGAGCAGCGTAAAGCGAGTTAAAAGCTCCGATACTTATATCGCTGGGCCACGTGAGAGATTTCTCCGAGCATTTAAAGCCGCGCTTGTCTATCGGGGAGTTCTTGCTGTTTCTCCCAACGTCATAGCTTGTTAACAACGACGTCGTCCGCGCGCCGTTAATTTTTTCATAATTTTTTTTTGTTTCTTGAACCGTTTTCAGAGCCAACGGAAGCCATTAAAGATGAATAGTTTTCGCCTTTTTTTTTACACAATTTCTTTTATTCCCCTCCTCCTATGTGTCACAGCTCGATAAATGGTCCACACTGAAATTATTTCTAATTTGAACAAGTCTAAGATGAGCGCTTTAAATTCTTAGCGACAAACGAGTGGAGCGATTCCTTATTGGATATGTCTATGTATATACCGCCATCGTTCCAATATCAATGTGTGCAATTTACACCAAATAAATTAATAATATTCGTTTAGCGATAAAATAATACAGCAGTTGTCTTAGAATAGAGACTTTTCAGTTCTCGCTACTCGCCAACTCGTTTATAATTGTCATCTCTACACGTTTATCGTTTATAATAAGCGATGGGGAAGGGAATGCTAACGGAGACTCAAACCCAAGAGTCTATTAATATGTGTAGAGCTAAAATACTGTTTGTATTGTCAACAGCGCCGCCTACGACACGGTGACTCAACAGAACGTCGCGATCAAGAAGTTGTCGCGACCCTTCCAGAATGTGACACACGCGAAGCGCGCTTACCGCGAGTTCAAGTTGATGAAGCTCGTCAACCACAAAAACGTAAGTAAACGTCTCTAAAAAAATATAGTATTCGATTATAGTATACGTCGAGATTAAAATAGTTTGGTACATACCTGGCATAACTTGCAATTTATTCAGGCCTAAAACAAGTTATATATGACGCCGCTAGAGATAGAGTAGCCTTACTGCAATTTTTATGACTTTAGTTATAAATTGTTATCTACAAGAGCACAGTGACCGATAATTGTTAACGTAATTTTTACACAAATAATAGTAAGTAAAGTTACTTTGACTTTGCGCATTTTTATTTCACTTCATATTCAAAATCATGTTTTTTACTTTAAAAATCGAAAATAAATTGAAAAAATTTTCGATCAGCATCGTCAGCTTCGATGCCGATCGATGCCGGTTCAAGTCCTGCCCGAGTCGAAAATTTTTTCAATTTATTTTCGATTTTTAAATTATATAGTGCCTTCATGTGCAATAACATGTGAAAAATATTAATGTTTTCAAAAATCATGTTTTTTTCTTATAGTGGCCTACACTCTACCTCTAGAAGCATATATTAGTATTATATTGGTTTAGTCTTTTTTAAGTCATCATGTTCCTTATAGTTAGAATATTCCAATTCAAATAACATATTTTAATTAGCCTTAACCTAAATTGTCTCCCCCCCTCCTCCTTTAGGTAAGGGACTAATAGTGAAATAATTTAATTTCAGATAATCGGTCTTCTAAATGCCTTCACGCCCCAGAGGAGCCTGGAAGAATTCCAGGATGTATATCTTGTGATGGAATTGATGGACGCGAATCTGTGCCAAGTGATCCAAATGGATCTGGACCACGAGCGTATGAGCTATTTGCTCTACCAGATGCTGTGCGGCATAAAACACTTGCATTTAGCTGGCATCGTGCATCGGGTAAGAATGGTTCAATTAATAAACTTAAAAAATATTGTATTCAATGTTATAAAAATACGTTGTCTGTAGCGGTATTAAGTCCCATTTCTGTCAATTATTTTTCGTAAACATTTTAATGATAAAGGAGGACAGACAAGTATGGGATTCCTTGATGAGAGGTGAAATACCCAAGCCATAAAAAACAAGACGCGATTTCGACCTATTTTGACTTTGGATATTCGGAAATCCCCATACTGAACCCGACACGCAGATAAACTTCACGGCTTTTTCTCGACGGTTATTCGTGATCCGGGCGGAATATCGATATTCCTACCGCCCATTTAATATCCAGATTTCCGGACCAAGTTCAAAATGAAAAATTTGTAACATGTTGGACCAGGTCAGGATCGAACCCACGCCCCGTTGATTATTAGTTATACCATACATTAGAGTAACGAACCTGTTTCTTATATTAGACAATGCAAGTTTAATAAAAGGAATTGTTTTCTGCTAATATTAGTAGATATGTTTACCAGTAATAGCTTTACTACAGACAGGCTAATCTTTCAGGATCTGAAACCGTCCAACATAGTTGTGAAGAGTGACTGCACTCTGAAGATCCTAGACTTTGGTTTAGCTCGTACTGCCGGCACCACCTTTATGATGACGCCCTATGTTGTCACTAGATACTACCGCGCCCCTGAGGTATGTCCAATATTTTTTTTAAACTATAATAAAGCATTGTGAAGTTTACATGACTAATTAAAAAATAAGCTTAAATATGCAGTCACGACATGCAAATGAAGTGGATGTATAGATTGGAAATAAATCTTTCGCGTTTTAAACCGATAAAAGTTATTTAACTTGATAAGTCCAATTCAGAAGAAGTAATATAATGTTGAACATCAGTATTGTTTCATAAAATAAACATAACGGTGTGGTTTAAAATGTATTTCCTTTATCGAAATTAATTTTTCTAATGTATCTGAATTAAGCTTTTAAATCAATTCCTCTTATTTGACATCTAAACAGGTTATCTTAGGAATGGGATACACGGAGAATGTAGACATCTGGTCGGTCGGTTGTATCATGGGAGAGATGATACGCGGTGGCGTACTGTTCCCAGGGACTGACCATATTGATCAGTGGAACAAGATTATCGGTAAGCATTCTAAACCTACTACAAGTTACAAATGAACATGCATTTTGAAACAAATCTTTGGTACACACAATTGCAATTTTCCATACTTTTGTTTTCGCCCTCTTTCGTCAGTAATAAAAATAAAATGCATCCCTTAAATTTAGTAATTGCTACTCTTAAGGCAAACCGTTTATTATTTTACTCAAATGCACAACTTTGTGTATTATTAAAATAAATAAAAAAAAACGTAATTTTCTGGTCCTTCAAGCCGGGTTAACGTTTGTAATATTTTAAGGTGACACAATTGTCAATCGAATCTCAAAACCTACATAGTCCGAACTTACCAGAAGGAAAATTTCAGGTTTCTTCATCTTATAAAAATTGTATCACTTTTCGTGTAGAACAACTCGGCACACCCTCCGCCGCCTTCATGGCGCGACTGCAGCCAACAGTTCGCAACTACGTGGAGAACAGACCGCGCTACGCCGGCTACAGCTTCGAGCGCCTGTTCCCGGACATCCTGTTCCCGTCGGACAGCAACGAGCACAACCGCCTCAAGGCTTCGCAGGCGCGCGACCTCCTCTCGCGCATGCTGGTCATTGACCCCGAGCGTCGCATATCTGTGGACGAGGCGTTGCTTCATCCATACATCAATGTCTGGTACGACGAGGGAGAGGTTAACGCGGTTAGTAATGTTCTAAGTACTATTTAATTATGGCTACGCGTTATATACAATTTAAATAAAACACTTTGAACGTGACCACGGTTGCTGCAAAGCATCCGAAGCGTCGGGCCGTAATTAAAATTATATTCATAATAGTTTTATCTAAAATCAATATTTTCAATGCTATATATATACTATTTCATATAAATACGAAAGGTATATAAAATTTAAAAATCTTAATTCCTCTTGCAGCCGGCCCCAGCTGCGTACGATCACTCAGTCGACGAACGCGAGCACACGGTGGAGCAATGGAAACAGTTGATCTACCAAGAAGTCGTAGAGTACGCGGCCCCTGGGGCCCCCGCTGCGCCCGCGCCCCACCACCTACCCAGCAATGAGATGCCGCAGCCAGCGCACACCGCATAGGTACTTCAAACTAACGGGAAGATCCTTCACGCTTTTCGCAAATTACTATATGAATTAAAAATCGATTTTTGATTGAAAATCTTTTACGACACGGGCGGGACTGGACGCGGCATCCATAGAGTTCCGGGCTGTTGCTCTAACCAATTGAGCTTACGTGTCAAATAATTTATATGCCATCGTGTGCAATAAGATGTGAAGAATATAAAAGTTTTCAAAATTACTTTCAAGTTCAGGTACTTATAGGTGATACACTAAAATATTTCTATTCAAATTTTATCGACACTTTTCATAGGTTTCAACGTGTACCACCGAGATTCAAATGACGTGCAAGGACAATAGTCGACGGGTTTCGTCAACTAGCCGCAGTGTCGCCCTGTATATAGCCAGTGCAGTGCTCCCTGCAGTGTACAGTCTTAGCAGTAGGTCGGTGGAACTGACGAGTTCGGCTCGAGTGGCCAACCCTCGTCTGTAGTTTACGCGAGGACGCCAAGATAAAACTAGTTTACAACGAGTTAAGACCCCAACGAGAACTTTTCGGCAGCCCTAGTTACAGAGGACTGGAGATGGTGACTTTGCCGCAACGCAGGCGCCATCTGCACTTTACTCGTTACAAACTAGTCGTATTTCAGGAATAACTCGTCTCATGTAGTCTTTTCTTCTTATAGTGATTAATAATACGTGCAGAAGGAAATAGTTTGTGAAACTACCGCCATTGACCGATTTCAATTGTGCTTCGAGTCAAAAGCAAATTTTATAATTGTTTTTAAAGGTTTTGCAAATAACCAGCGTTCCTTCTGCTCGTTTGTATTCAATTGAATAATTCTCGTCTTTTAACTTTTAAGCTTGTTCCTTTAGTTCCTACCCACATCATTTTCGACTTTCGTTTGCGTCAAAGAGTGCCTTTTACTAGTGATTTCTCTGGATGAAAGGACTAATTTAAAACTATATATTTTTGTTAATAATTCTGTTCTTTTGTTCAGATTCATTTATCATTAATTTATACACTCAGGTTGAGAGAGTTGTTATATTATTTTTAATCGTGCAATCATTATTTTAAAGTTAGCATATGCAATATCCTCGAATGACTATAATGAACCTATGCGAATACATTTTTAGCGTAAATTGATTTGCAACCTAGTTTTTGACGTTATTTAGCATATACAAATAATCAAGTGAAATTATTTTATTGATGGGTTTATGCCTTTGGGATTTAGGTATCCCAAAGGCATCATGAGTAGAATAACCTACTTATTTTGTCCCATAAGTAGCGCGGACTATTTCAATGTATATTAGGCGGTTCGTTCCGATTTCGTTTCGTGAGATAGTCAGTCGGGATTTCGTGATGTTTATAGTTTTTCATAAGTAGACCCTAGTTGCGTTGTTGACTGTATAAGTAGACAAATAAGTACATTTTATCTAAGTAGTTTATTTAGGTCGCCTCACACGTAACACGAGATATTAAACTATATACGTAAAGATAGCGAGCTCATTCACCGAAATTCGATTATTTATGTAACTATCTATGAACTATAGTGACCTTTTATTTGGTCAGGCAACCCCTTGAAAATGCAACACGTGTGAGGGGACACAGTAGATTATCGTTTGAAACCTCACTAGGTGATATATCGATAAGAATAAGAATAACGAGGGTAGTCACAATGAACGGTTCCATGAAATAGCACAATTTATTAGCTATAGACTAGAGACGGGCGCTGAACGGTTGAGAGAGCAATGAGCAATAATGTTAATAGGTTTCCCTTAGCAGTTGAATGTAATATTTGATTATCCGAATCGTGAAACATATCAGGAGGTCGCAATAGATAGGTTCATTTTGAAACTGCAGCAGTGAAAGCCGCTCTGCGTTTTGGATGTTCCTTTACTTTTGTTCCATAGACGGCATGGGCGCGCCCAGCGGCCGATGCCAGGGACAGACACATAGAGGCCAGAAGTTGAGCACGCCCATGATAGACGGTTTACAAAAACTGCGAAAACAAGAAACTCACCCCTTTCGACTACACCACGTGAATAATGATAAATGTATACAAAAATGTTTTATGAGTAATTGTAAGCATGTAAATATTAAGTATCGCGTAGGCTAAATGGAACGAAAGTGAAGAGCACGGGTACTATCTATAGGGCGTTCTGTACTCTGTTTGACGTTATAATAATGATAAAGTTCACAACTGTACGTCCAAAATGTCCATTTATATGTTAAATTTACCTAATGCAAATTACAATAATGTATCTTTAGAACGTATTTTAGTACACGAGGTTTAAGATCGTAGCGACGTTGAACGGGCCGAGCGGCGCTTAGCGGTATTCTTTGCGTTACACGATGACTATCTAAAACAACTTATTTTTACTGTACCTAAACGTAAGTTTCATATTTTAACTGAATAAATTGAAATGGTTATTATATTTAATGAGTTTCAATTCTTGTCAAATTGCACCTCCCCACTCTCGTCCATTTGATGCAAAGTAATATTTATATTTATTTATATGCTGTCCCTACCTAACCACTAGAGGTCCCGAGATATGAATGCAAAGCCTGGGAAAACAATAAATTGTTTCGTTGAAGTAGGGCAAAGAAATCTGAAAAACTACTTGCCTGTAATAAAAATCAGATCAGTAATTCATCTTTTGTTTTTAACCGGTGCTTTGTCTGTGTTGTTAAAAACAATATCGTTTCTAATGTGGAATTTACAGGTTAGTTATTCATCCGGTTTTATTAAGATTTTAGTGTTTAAATAATAGTTATGTAACGTAAGCAACCCGTAGCATAAATGTTTCACACGCTAAAAACTGTTTTATTCATTATTCAAAGGGGTGGAAATAAAAAATATTAATTCACATTTTTTTTTAAATTTAAAGATATAAATAACCAAGGTTTATAAATAATACTTAACTAAATATCACAATAAAACTTTTTCTCCAAGTAACATGATCGTTCCAAATCTAGGCCCCGCTTTGGCAAAAACTCGAGATCATGAGAGTTATTTCAACGTAATAATATGTGGCTTAGACACGAATCAATAAACTATTTATTACATACCATTTTTCTAATTCGTAATTCAATCTGTAGACATTATATGTCTTATATAGTATCTGTGGTGATGTCAACTCTGTGACACTTCACTTGTATGTGACTGTGGAGTATATTGTATTGTTTGTATTCAATTGTTAGATATTACTTGTGTTAATTTTATAATTTCTAAAATAAGGGTTTTTTAGTTATTGCTTTTAGAAAGTTTAATTTGTTACTTGAGTAGGAGCCGCTTATAAAATGTCAGAAAAAGATAAAGCAAAGGGGAACACCCAAACAAAACATCTACCAAAAGACGCTCAAGTAATAATGTCTATCATGAAAGAAGTGGGAATTACAGATTACGAGCCTAAAGTCGTTATTCAACTCCTCGAGTTCACATACAAATACGTTACATCAGTGCTCGACGATGCCAGAGTATTTGCTAATCATGCTAAGAAAAAGACGATAGATCTAGACGACGTTCGGTTAGCCGTACAGATGCAATTAGACAAGTCTTTTACGAGTCCTCCGCCGAGAGAAGTACTTCTTGAGCTTGCTAGAGTTAAGAATGTCAACCCACTGCCATTGATCAAGCCACACTGTGGGTTAAGGCTACCTCCTGATCGGTAAAAACTGTACCTTACTCTTTGTTAGGTCCTAATACTTTGAATGTAATGTCTCAAAATAATAAGTAATGTATGTATTAAGTACTGTAATTCCTTTGAAATAAGTGTTATAAGATTACATTTAATTTCAGTTACTGCCTTACCGCGTGCAACTATCGTTTAAAATCAGTACAAGCAAAGAAAACCACAGCCAAGACCCCAGTCCCTTCTGCTCCAATCAAAACTATTACGACATCTAAATCAGGAAATCCGAACTTAGTTGTTAAGAGATCTCAGGGAGCCATAAATGTTGGCGGAAAGGGGAATACTGCTCCTAAGCCTGTTTTGAAATTTACTTCAGGCAGTAAGGTAAAGGACCATTAATTAAATTATCTTTCTTCTTTTTCACAACCTTTTTACATAAATTTTAAATAAAACAGCATCAAATTGATTTGGTAACATCTGTACAGGTGGTAGCAAAACCAGCAGTACGAGTGACATCTGGACCTCCTCAGCAAAATCCAGTCAAAATGGAGACAGATGACATTTCTCTTAAGAGGAAAAGAGATGATGATGACTATGATATGTAAATATTGTAATTCTTTTTACAATTTGTTTAAGTATAATGTTATAGGTAAGACATACAAATACATTTTTTTTTTACTATATTGCAATTAGTTATTTAATATCCTCTTATAAATGAGTCATTAGTCTACTATGGTGGTATTTTGTATTTTGACTGATAACAAATGTCATATTTTAGGTTAGGGTTTAGAGGGGTTTTTTGTAGGTTCATCTAGAAATGTACCTTCAAAAACCCCTTTGCAAATTAAATTCACTTATGAATGCCATTCTTAAGAAATAATTAATACAATGACTTGCAATACTTGTAATAAATAAAAGAAGAAATTAGAAAAATAAACATTTAATATAAAAGATACAGATAAATAAAATATATCTACTGATTCACTGATTACACTTATCACGACATAAATTCTTTAAAACTAGATTATTTCTTATCATATTTGTAGAAGCCCTCTCCAGTCTTAACACCAAGTTTTCCTTCAGCTACTAATTTATTTAGTATCGGTATAGGTTTGAACAAAGGCTGGTCTGGGTAGTTCTTGTTCCAGCCGTCCAAGATAAACTTGGTTGTATCCAGACCAACATAGTCTAATAGTTCAATGGGACCCATTGGGTAACCTGCTCCAAGCTTCATAGCAATATCAATGTCTCGAGCAGAGGCATCACCTAAATATAAACAAAAAAGAAAAAATACCTCACAACATTTATATTGTACACATTTTATAATAAGTTAGAACACCTCTGTAGCTAAACGGTTAGAGTTGTTGCCTATGGTATGTTACAATATGTATAGCACAAATTCCTAGGTTTGAATCACAGGGAAACACAGCACATAAGTCTGATTAATGACTTGCCTATTAATAAAACTGATCAGTGAAATGTACACAGAAAAGGGATTTCACATTATACTTTTTATACATATTATCAATATTCAAGGCATCAGAATTTCATTTGTTTCATTAACAATGATTATAGGTGAATATAAACAGTCTTAAGGATGAAATCAAATTTAGTTGCTGTAGTAGCTATTTACCTCTCTCGAGCAGCCTCAAAGCCTCTGCCATATAAGGCACCAGCAACCGATTGACAATGAAACCAGGTGTATCCTTGCAGGCGACACAAGTCTTTCCAATTGATTTACCCCATTGCATCATAGTGTCAAAAGTGCTGTCAGTGGTTTCCCCACCACGGACAACCTCCAACAAACGCATAACTGGTACAGGGTTAAAGAAGTGTAGACCACCAAATCTGAAATCATTTAATTTATCATTTAGATTATTATCATGAGGAATAGCACCATCATGTCCCATGTTTAAAGGCCAGCACAAAAATTAAATGGTCAAAAAAATAGATGGTGAAATGCCCCAGCTATTTAACTTCTGAACAAGTCTGTCAACCTTTTCATCTGGGAAGGGACTACCGCCCATTTCATCACAATACAAACAAAACCATATCAAAAATACTAAATAGAAATTTATTTTCTTACCTGTCTTTTCTCTTAACCACCGAAGAGATATCATTGATTGATAGAGAAGAGGTGTTTGATGCAAATATTGTGTGAGCGGGGGCGGCCTGTAACCAACAATGGTAACAATGTAAAATTTTTGTTAAAGGGTTAAACTAAATCTTAATTCTTATTGTAAGGTTACAAAGTGAGTCTAAATAGGTATATAGACAAAGTATTTTATCAACGGTACATCATACATCAAAAGATTTTACATTTGGTAATAATACTTACATTGTCTAATTTCTGGAACAATGCATGCTTCACATCCAAATTCTCCACAATAGCCTCTATCACTAAATCTGTGTCTTTAACAGCAGCGACAGGATCGGTGGCTGTTTTGATGCGTTCAGAAGCTTCCCTTGCGAACTTTTCACCTTCTTGAGGATTGTCTTTATAAATCTTCTTCGCAATTCTCCCCAAGCTATTGTTAATAGACTTTTGGGATTTTGCAAGGATGTCAGAATTTACATCTACGAGCGTCACGTTTTGACCGGCTTGTGCAGTGACCTGATTTAAAAAGCAAAATTTATTAAATGTTTGGTATATAATATGAATTAAATTTGCCTTTGGACACCAAATAAATAATTATTAGTGTGTAAAAAGTATCATTCCTTAAACTAAGTACCTGAGCAATGCCGGATCCCATTAAACCGCCGCCGATAATTGTTACATTTTTAATAGCACTATTTACAGCGGCAGAATTGGAAAAACTCCTAACAATAACTCCAAATTGATTCATTTTACAAAATAAACGTGTAATTCAGCGTGCGTAAATAACTTCAAAAAAGTTTCATAGGTCTTACAGAAATAAAAAGTTCACCAATGTGATTCCAAAGTTCAAATATGAAAATGTCGTAACGTTGATAATTTATGAAAGTACACAATACAAGTTATATATATAACACAGACTATGATCGTGCCGCCGGAACTTCTTCTTCCAACCAATACTTTTCTGAACACTACACCTAAAATACGTGCAGACAGAGTCGGAATAACCAGTGGAAATAGCGAAACAGTTAAGCGTCAGTGATCTGCGTCATAAAATCACCAGGATACTTTCATTGATGTTGAAAAAAATGAAAACCTTTCACTTAAGAAGAAGAAGAATACATGACACGTGTAATTCACATTATTTATCCTGTATTAAGCCATTATCATAATACTACAAATCGTAAAACACATATTGATCATTATACAATATACGAAATCGGATACCTACAAAAAAATAATAGAGACATTATCACAACGTTTTATTAAAAATACATTCGTTTGATTATAATGAGTGCGAGTGGTATCAGTGAAAAGCAATGGCAAGTATTTTCAAGCAAAATTACACCTCATTACGATGGTAGTAGAACTTATATTCGAGCATATACGTTTTATATCCAGTTTTTCAATAGGTATACGTGCTCTTAAATAGGTAATAATATTATCTCGGCTGCTCACTTTGAGATTGCGGTCGTTGCCGTGTTTACGCTTTATACATTTTATTTTATACCGTGTCACGATGAATAAATTAATCGGCATTTCGAGGAAATTTTCGACGTCCACCTCGCTAAATGCAATAAAAACCGTCACCATAGTCGGTGGCGGTTTAATGGGAAGTGGGATAGCCCAGGTAAGGTTTTTTTTTATATATCGTGTTATCTACTTGTTATGTTAATATTTATCAATTACTCTACGCCTATTTTTTGGGTCACTATGTCAACTATGTCAGTTTAAATCTTAATTATTATTATTTATTACACAACATATGTAGATTGCAGCCCAGGCCGGACAAACTGTAACAATAATTGATCTAAACACTGAAGTTCTAGAAAAGTGTCAGAAATCAATTGAAAACAATTTAAAAAGGGTAGCAAAGAAGATTCACAAAGATGATGCAGCTAAGATGGAAAACTTTTGTAAGGAGTCACTTGCAAGGATCAATGTATCAACAAAACTGGAAGATGGCACTAACGCCGACTTAATTATTGAAGCTATTGTAGAGGATTTGAAAGTCAAACAACAACTTTTTAATAAATTGGATGAGGTAAGCCATGTTTACATAAAAAGAGAGAAGTAAAGTTTTTAGATTCTCAAAGGCTTTGTATTGCTTTTTATTGAACAAATTTAATCTGTTTTAGCTCGCACCACAACACACTATTCTGGCAACGAATACCTCGTCAATATCGGTGAATGCCATCGCTGCAGGAATTAAACGAAAAGATAGGTAACAGTGGCATACTTTAGAAATATGTATTCTTTTCACTAAGCTGGAAAGGTGTATTATTAGATACGATAACTTTAATACAGTAATATCTTAGACTCTGTGTAAACAATTTAAACTTCAAACTGAATATAGTGGTAAAAATAAACAATTATAATTGAATTAAAAGTAAAAACATATGAACTTTTTCTTCATATATCAATAACAGTTTTTACACATTTTAAAAGTACTTTAGTGATTTCATTTATTGTTAAACTATTTATATGCTTAACATTCTTCAATTAGATATACATTTAAACCCGTGTTAATGACATTGGAAACATTGTAGGTATGGAGGTCTTCATTTTTTCAATCCAGTACCAGTGATGCGTCTGCTAGAAGTAATAAAAAGTGATCAAATCTCGGATGACACATATCAGACTATGATGGAATGGGGAAAGTCTGTCGGAAAAACTTGTATTACTTGTCATGATACACCAGGGTTTGTTGTGAATAGGTTGCTGGGACCCTACAGCGCAGAAGCTGTGCGACTTTATGAAAGAGGTATGAGCGTTTAGAATCAAAGTTTTTTTCCACTAAGATATAATAAACACCTTGATGTAGTATGTGCTGCTATACGAGTTAAAAAAGCCATTGTAAAGCAGTAGCCTTAGGTAATTATTGTTACAATTTGTTTCAGGTGATGCTTCAAAAGAGGATATTGACATAGCTATGAAACTCGGTGCTGGATATCCAATGGGCCCATTAGAACTTATTGATTACACAGGCATAGACACAAATAAGTATGTCTTACAAGTCTTATATGAAGCCACCAAAGATCCAGTGTTCAGGCCCAGCCCCTTACTTGACAAAATGGTAGCCGAGGGCAAGCTTGGAGTCAAAACTGGTGAAGGTTTATATAAATACAAGAAGTAATTTAATGAAGGATTTCTTTTTATTTGGCTAAAGATATTAAACTTTAAAAATAGATGGCATTTATTATAATTAAAATTTACTAATTAGTGAAATGGTAATTTTTTCATACTTAAATAATTTACAACTTTATGAGAGAACTAGTAAAACCTTCAATTAAGGCATTACTTTTATTCATTAATAATAAAGTGGAAATGGGTATTAAGAATAAGTTATATTTTTATACTAAATATTTTATTACCAATAAATATTGTTTTCTTTATATAAGTGTGTTTTATTTCGTTTATAAAGTTCGTTATGTCTTTTTTAAACATAAACATGTCTCGTAATGTAGTTTTTTTGAGTAAGATTTTAAACTCTTAATATGCTATAAGACTTGCGGCCATTTTGTAATGTCACCTAGGCTTTCGAGGTGTTAGCCCGTTGTATTTGAAACTAGCTGTGTCAGCGATTTCGTCCGCGTCGAGTAGTTATTTTGGGCTTCCAAATTCGTTATTGCAAACCCCTTCATCTTTATAAACTTAAGCTGTTACCCACGACATCGGTCGCGTCCATTCCCGTCGTTCTTGCAAGTTAATTTTAAAAGATTTTTATGTCTAATATATTGGGTATCTTGAACTGTTTTTGCAGCGTCCGTCTCAGAAAGCCATAATGATAAATGATTTTCCCAAAATTCTTCACATTTCTCGCTGTATTTTCGCTTGAATGTGTCACAGGGCGATGTTTTATATTTGAAATTTAGTCGATAACTTATTCTGTGTTTGCTTTGTCGAGGAAAACACAGTATTTGACCGTGACTTCGTCCGGTGATGGCTGCTGTAAAACCTTTTTCAATTTTTGAAATAGTTTTTAAAATCTATTATTGCTAAACATTTGGCTGGTTGAATCACCAACAAGATGTTAGTCCTTGTATTACAATGCATATAAAATATGCTTAATTATTTTTCTTTCTAACTTGCAGTGTCTGTATAATTTGGTAACCGAATTTACCTAAAACAGCCTTGCGACATATAACGATTACGATAGTTTATATCTAATGCACATAAAGATATGATAGTACAATTGAAGGTACTTAAATTTCAATCATTAATATTCTAGGTACATTAGGTATGCTAGGTAAGGAATGTAACTTTATAAAAAAAATATTAAAGTAATCTAATTTTTTTTTTTATCAAAGTCTGTTGCTCAATTTGATTATAAGCTGTTAAGAAAGTATATAAATGTGGTAGATGTCGGAAATTGTAAATATGTATTTAAATCAATGGCTGGTTGGAATATCGAGAATTCCGTCCGGGTCACGAATCATCGTCCATAGATGAAAAAAATGATTTTAATCGCGTTTCGGATTCACTCAGTGTGATTTCGAATATCCAAAGTCAAATTACATATCTGTGGTTCCCAGTGATCCCATGCTTATCTGTCCCCCCATATCATAAAAAAAAACAAAAACATACGCGCAAGGCTATGTGCTGTGACGACAGACCGTAGTAATTTAACTAATATATTTCGCGCTTTAAACCGTTAAAAGTTTATTTAAATGTATCGCGTAAACTAGTGACCATGCATTACTTTTCTCGTTAAATGCATTCTTTAATTCATCCTTGTTAAGTAAGTTAATTATTCTACCCGCACTGACTTCGGTTACAACAAAAAATTGTATAATCTCATAACTGTTAATGCGAGTTTTGCGTTACTCACCAAAAGTATGTCTTATTATCTCAAATAGTTCATTGAACCCTTGCCATATTATCGGATTAGAATAGTTTTTGGAAAGAAAGGTAAAAGCCGGAAAAATGTAAAACGCGATATGTATTAGTTAAACTTATTTTTAAATATAGCTCGACATTTCGGATGCTTTGCGGCACGGCACAGTTAAATAAATTGTAAATAAGTTAACAAATGGTTCTCTTGTTTTAAACCGTTGACCTTTTATTTAAACGATGACAATACTTTTTATCTGTAGTCGTTTGAACGTCCAAAATACTAGCGCGGATTCGTTTGTAAAAGGAAATCTCTAATGTATAGGCGTAGTGAATGTATCATTTGAAAGTAGAAATTTCATGCTGGCTGCCAGAGGCAGAATGGCCTAGCAGAAAAACCATAATTTTCAATAAGGAGGAAAATAAAAATGTGCAATTAACTTAGGCGAAAATGAATTAGTACTATTATTTGTGTAAGAATCATAAATTTTTAGACATATATTTTTAGACCGTGAATATATAAATAAGTCAAGTCATAAATTGCAGTTAGGTTACTATGCCTCTAGCGGCCTGGTATATGTTATATGTTGCAACTGATTAGGTAAAATGCCGGACTAATGAAATTTTAAAATATCAACGTTCTACCTTAAGCCAACGTACGAATATGCGGCCTTTGGTATTTCTTAATGATTTTGGTTTTTCCAATGTTTTGTGAACATTATTCGTATAATTAAGCACGTTAATATTATTTATTTCTCTCTTATACAGACAAAATAAAAAAAATATTTAAATTGTTTCCTATATCTGAGGCCTATTTAAGGGGAAACCTTCCCTCCACGAAGCCAGATATAATGTGACAAATGCAACTAATATGTGGTTCTTGAAATACATTATATGTTCTGACTTAGAAAATACTTAGAAACTATATTAACCTTAAGTATTTATATGTATTTATCATCTAGATCCCCAGCGTAATGGGTGCACGAGAGATCTTTCGTTTGAATCCCGGGAAAATCGCTCGGGCAGGAGAAGTCTGTAAATAAAATTAATCAGTACTCAACTTTACTTTACATACATTGATCGAATGATCCTAAGATTTCAACTTGCGGAAATTCCTAGTTTTTGTGATATTAATTGTTGAACACTGGATTAAACGGGGGGCTCCGTCGTATGTGTGACTTGTTCGCCCCATACCCCACATGGGGCGGGGACTTCACGCACCCTTTATCACTTAAATTACCTATATACCAGTGGTCCTGATAAAAATTCAGAGAAATGATATCGATTCTACAATGCGAATAATATGGTATTGTAAATTCAATATCTCTAGATTGGTTATCGATAAGATACCAAGAAAACTTCTTATTATAAATCTTGTGTTAGTTGAATATTTCCGCGCAATAAGTGTTCTATCGAAGCGTATTCAAAGGTTTGTTGATGTTATAGTGTCTAATAGTTGTTGTAAATGAAAACGACCATTTACTAATTTCGTGAATAATTAGTTGAACATTTTTGTAATTGTGACATCGATGTTTAAAATGTCACTTTTAATGATCGCATTAGTACTAACGCTTAGTGAATTTTCGTTTGATGCTTCATACAGTTATCGAGAAAGAAGCTAAATTTTGTCTCTGTTACTTTTTGTACGTAGTGTAACGGTGTAAAGGGGAAAAATTTACCAAGATTATTGTTTTTTATAGTTTAACAATTGTATTTGGTGTTTTATTTTTATTTTATTTGTTACAGGCCAGCAATACTAAATGAGTGATGTATTCCAAAAGAGGAAACCGCCTAACCCACCGCGACGACAGAGGTCCATCTACCAGGCAAGTTTCTTTAAATTACGTCTTAGAACTACCCGCTTAGAACTACTAGAAATTACGTGTGGACGGCATCATCAGGAGATGTTAACTCCTCGATTGCTTGAAGAATCCAATGAATGAATTCATCGAGCAATTGAAACGTCAAAAACCTCTTCTCGCTTACATCGGCCGAAAAGCCCGAAAAACAATGATATGCTATATTAAGATTTAAATAAAACACTAACGGTTTAAAACGCGATATATTAGTTTAACTTATTTGAAAATGATTTTTAATTTCGGATGCTTTTGCATTTGTCTCCCCGTGACCACGGCTGCTGCAAAGCATCCGAAACGTCGGGCCGAAGTTAAAAATCATTTTCAAATGAGTTTAACTAATATATCGCGTTTCAAACCGTTAAAGTGTTTTATTTAAATGTGTACAACTCGCGGAAATTATAGACAGTATTTATATTTAGATTGTTTTGTTCAAATATATTACGATATTAAAGAAAAATTACTTTTAGACAGTACTTATAAATGGCTTCAAGGTAATATTTTTTTTTACTAAAATTGCGTTAGCGACCCGGGGCTTCCTAAAACTCATCTATTCACGGTTCGCGGGTAGACCATGGGTGGTATTCCGAGGGTCTTTTGACCACAGCAGTACGGGTAATCCAATAGATTACCATTTGTTATGAGCTTGAAGAGCTAAACGTATCACAAAGCAGTCGAAACGTCCGGTTGTAGTTAAATATAAGTTTCGTGTATAAACCGTTCAAATGTTAAATTTTTACATGTAGTAATGATAACACTTTACACACACACACACGTTATGAGATAATATGTATCTTTGGGTAATTATGGCTGTTTGGTTGATAGAAATGCAGTTATTAGAGTTTACACAATTTTCAGGTACATTACAATCTGCGTCCGCGCACAGACGAGATGACGACGAAGCCGCTTTCAATGCCGTTTGATTCACTGGAAGTGCAGAAGTATAGTCGGCAGGTAGCTGGGCATACAAACACCGGCAGTGACACCAAATATTTAGGTCGGTACCATCATATTACAAACTGTTGTCACACCTGGAAGAACTTAACTTAAGAAGAAACTCGACATCGGCAAAGTTGAAAGAAGAAGAAGCATGTATGTGATTTTATTTGTTTGTAGGTCTCCTGCAATGCAGTAACGGGACAATTCTCAAACCAATTCTTAAGGAAGTGCAAAAACGTGAAATAGATTTTTACACAACTGTGTTTTCTTCGAGCGACAAGGATCTGATAGAGTTGAGGAAATTTCTGCCCAAATTCTACGGTTGTAAGCATTTCACATACAACGGCTTCGAGCAGGAGTATATCATACTTGAAGATCTTACCGAAAGAATGCTGGAACCGTGCATAATGGACATTAAAGTGGGTAAGCAGTCGAAGAGTTTTAAACGTACAAAATAAGTATCTATACTAATATTATAAAGCTGAAAAGTTTGTTTGTTTGTTTGAACGCGCTAATCTCCGGAACTACTGGTTCAAATTATTATTATTTTTTACATTGTTTAAAAAATTACGTTCACTGATCAAATTTATTCACAGCCAAGTATTTCACGAGACTTCTGTGCCCTGTCCGACCGAAACTTATATTATATATGTAAAGGTGGATATTTGAGCAATGTTAGTTTCTAAATAACAACATCTATATTGACGCGAAGGTAGATGAAACACAATACATATGTGAAGAATACATTTAAGCTTTTGTCCGAAAACAATTTCAAAATTAATCGGTATCAAGTAAGTCCACATACTTATGTCAAACACATATTAGAATTAAACACGAAGGTTTCAATAATAATTTAATATTTATATTATAAATAACTTTGAACGCAATGCTATCATGTAAGTCTTCATATTATATTTAATTAAATCGACATCTTTATTTATTGTATACAGTACATTTTATTTTATTCGTTTCTTTTGACTTTCAACGATGATATTAAAATGTTAACAATAATACCATTAACCTCCGAACAAAGAACTCTTCAAGACCGTTATCTGCTAATTGTTAGGCTATTACCGGACAACTGGATATACTCTTTTATTTATTAAATAGTAATAAGCCGTTTTTCGTAACAGGGAAAAGGACATGGGACCCCAACGCTTCAGAGGAGAAGATAGCCCGAGAGCAGAGCAAATACCAGAAATGCAAAGAAGAATGGGCGTTCTGCATACCAGGCTACCAGGTCTACAAAGTGGACAGCGGCAGACTCCTGAAATACGGCAAGGATTATGGACAAAAGCTACATGGACATGTGGTCACCGCAGGTAAGAAAGAGGGTTTTTTTTTTGATAGAGGAGGGTAGACAGGTGATCACGTGATGGAAGGTAAATATTCCAGCCATGTAACGTCTCGTCCGCGCTGTCGACTTATTTTGGCTTTGAATGCCATTAAACTTGACGTCTTTTCCATTTGTAGACGGCGGTTTGTGACCTCGGCAGAGTCTCTACCCATCCACTTAATATCATTTTCACACAAAATTTAACGTGTTTCAGAGAAATTATAATTTCTTAAAAACGCGTTGGGCCCAGTGGGGGTCTAACCCACGAGCCGTTGGCTAATAGCAATATGCTACCATCAAACAGACGACCCTGTTAAGTGTTTTAATTAGGGTTTAGGATCGAGTCCATCTGTATCAAAAGTATATATCTCAACGAAACATAATAAACACACATGAAATGAAAAAGCCTTTATTTCATTTCATGTGGGTTTATAACACACATACTACGTTTATCCAAATATCGCTGTTGTGAACTCTGATTGATATGGTACATGTGTTTGATAGAAGAAACTTTACGTGTGAAGATAATTGAGTGACGGATTGAGATACATTCCATTACTGGTGGACCAAACGACGAGTTTATTGAAATCATTTTGAAGTTTATAACAGTCGTCTTCAGCTTCAATAATTTGCTATCATGCTGCTGCTTTAACCAATTGGTTTATTTAGATTGACAATTCATTATTTTTTTTAAGAATATAACATTAATTGCTATATTGTTTGATAGCCTTAAGGAAAACTTTCTTGTCAGTCCATTATATATATATGTATCATTTTAACGCCTAAATGTCATGTAATTAATAAATATCAGTGTTTAGCATAGAAAATAATGTTGTAAACAAGTGTTAAGGTTGAAAGATATTGAAGTTTTCAAATGCGCAAAACATTCTAAAAATGTGTATAATGTAAGAACTTCGTCCAATTTTCTTTTACGTAAATAAGTTCGATTCTCCTTTTCAGCAGTAAAGAATTTCTTAAACGGGTTGGGGACCCGTCCTTGCCGCGCACTGATACTCCAGTTCCTGTCATCCTTGTGGGCGCTGCAGAAGTGGTGTGCTCGCCAGACCTCGGTTCGCTTCTACGCGACCTCGCTATTACTCGCCTATGACGCGGCCAAGTTGAGGGAATGCTGTGGGGACCACGGAGACTCTCATGGGTGAATGTTTTTGAAAGTCTATTACTAACCTTTTAGAATAAAAGAAAAAGAGAAGACGCTAAGTAATGACGACAGCGCTGACCGTCTTTTAAAACTGATCCCAGGCAGTGAAACAAGTGACTCTAACAACGAATATTAAAAATATATATATCAGGGCTCTCTTTCAACAAACGTGGTTTTACGGAACCCCTTTCGTGCGAACACGATTCGCACTTGGTAGATTAAATTCATAAAATTCAGCGAAAAATTTGGAGTATCACAGTTTATTTCCATTATCACTAGATAAGGTTCTTAACGAAACGAGTACATAGGGAAGCGCCCACTCACTATTTCTATCCTTGTTAGATATATGGGACTGTGGAAAAGAGACAACGTTCTAATAATTCGCTCCAGTGAATTGACTAGATTATTTAGATACAAAAAAAAACACTAAATGTTCCTTTCAATGACTCTTATATCGTTTTGTATTATTTCATATTGTATACTCCATATAACTAGATTTTTCATTAATTTAATCTTTTAAGTTTCCCAAGTATTATAAATATAAAGGTGTTATATATTGTTTTCGCTGTAAGCTTATTCTAATGTGTTTGTTTGATATATGTAACTGACACCTCTAACTGTTCTATTATTTCAGAAGAAAGGAAAAATGTCGTCCATCTTTGCCACCAGCGCGACGACGATCAATACACTCCTTGCATAGTCCCCTCAGCGGGTCCAACTTTAGCGGACTACTGTCCCCCACGGGACCAGTATACAAAAAGTTCAATGCCATCCCCCTATCACCCACGAGCAGTCCAAATTTACCCCCACCAGTGTCTTCCCCCTGGACCGAAGCGCTTGACAAACTAAACCACAACCATTCGTTTGAAAATAATTACGAAGATAAGCTTTGCAAAATAAAAATGAATTACCGAGCGTTACTCGACCAATTGTCCCAGGAGACCCCGACACCGAATCCCTGGGGAACAGTTAAAGTTATAGACTTTGCACACGCGTTCTTCAACGACGGTGAAGAACGAACCATAGACTATAACTTCAAGGAGGGCATAGACAATTTTGTTCGAGTTTTCGAATCGTTGCTGAGTGAGACAGATGATCAAGTCTTTTGATAAATAGACGTACAGAGCATTCCATTAGAGTTATGCAAAATGTGGGTGTGGGGCTGAGCCCTTTACACACTTGGCATCTTTAAATGAAAAATGTTGTATTACAGCGACGTAGGGCTCACCATTCATTGATTTATTTAAAATTCTTGTGTCAAGCAAGCTCTATTGCCTTGTAAAATATTAATAATACCAGAATTCAAATGTAAAAAATAATATTTAACTTTATAATCCACCTCAAATCATGTTTATCAAAGTTGGAGGTGTGCCATAGAGTTATGAAAATCAGATTCCGATAGTCTTGGGTTCAGAGTCCGCCTGTGCATTAGGTTAGTCAATAAAGTAACTCTTATGTACATCCATTTTTTCTAACACTTCTGTTAAAGTAAACTTATAAGTATTGTATGTGGTTTGCGCGTGTAATACACATTTAAATATAACACTTGACGGTTTAAAACGCAAAATATTTTTTTTTACTGGCGACTCGACTTCCACTGTGGGGACGCGTTTTTAACCGTTAAGTGTTTTAATTATGCAGACTCAAGAAATTATAAACTAATACGTAAATTGTACTTAAAAGCAAACAAAGTAATGCTTTCGCATTATAAATATTTTATTTTCAAAATCAGCCAAAATTATTCTCCCAAATAAAATAAATCTATAAACTTAAATATATTGTCTAATACGAAAGTGGGGCGTATCTGTTCTAAATGGCGGCGTATTATTTCCAAAATGATTTTTTTTTATGACGGAGGAGCACACAACATCAGAAGTAGATGCGCTGTCGGCCTTTGACTTTCACGTTCGGACTGAACAACTCAATAAAAGACGAAATCCAACATGTTTCTTAAAGAATATACATTTTTAGAAACACGTTGGATCCGATGGGAATCAAACCCGCGAGCCGTTGAGGCTACCCAACCACTAAAACAGCTGTGATGATTAAACTTTTTAAAACCGATATAAACCACAAGAACACGATACCCGATGGAAGATATACAATGCAATTTTGAACCGATTTATTTAACGAAAATGAACCTAACCCTAATGCAAATAACGCGGAAAAACCGCCTTTTCATAATTTTCAATCGTCGTCATTCACTTGTGATTTTCGCGTCCTTTATATTTCTTTTTATGGAAAAAAAGATATTCAAAGTCTTACACACAAAACGGAATTCAATAAATCAAAATAGTGAAAAGGCGTGTTGTGTATGAAAATGATTTGAACCGAGGCACGAATAACATTGTACATAGTCACACCGACCACAAAATAAGCATTAATCCTACGCATTACAATATACAACGGAAATAATAGAAGTACGAACTAGCACAAAGCACTTTAACTAAGAAGATTTACGAACAAAAATTTGTATACTCGTTTCATTTGAAAGGTCGACGCTTTAGACATTTTTACATCCACGATGCCAACCATCTCATCCATAAAGGCGACGCTCTGTGTTTTTAAAGTTATATATTTTTTTTAACTTTTTTTTTCGTTTAATTATATTTAGATTACAAAAAAAACAAACACACGAATGGCATTTAATAACATTTTAAACTTAATTTAGTGATATCACATTCATTAGGTGTCTCGCTGTAATTTGAAATGAAACGAAGCGAGTGACACTATCCCCCCCCCTTCTTCAGTCCCACAGGTAATTAGTACAAGCAACTTAGGTTACGTAGTGTAGGCGAAGCCGGGTGTCGCGGAGGAGTTTTTCAAAGTATTGTAAATTATTCATCTAAGCAAAAATTATTGTACATATTTATAGAATACGTCCGTAGCGAGGCATGACTTAGGTTCGGCCGGGTTCCGTTGCAGCACGCCGCTCAATTCTGATTGGTCAATTAGCAGCATAACAAGATAACACGTTAACGATAGATAACAAGAATTTAAGGAAAGCTAATATTAGTTTAAACAAGGCATAAGACGTTTCACGATTATAATTGACAATGACTGATTTCGGCTTGAGCGCCATTTTGTTTTAAAAGAGTGAATATTTTTTTTCTTTGAAAACAAAATGGCGCCCAATAGTTTCGAAATATTTTAGGTCAAAAAGGGAAAAAAGAAATGTATAGAATTGATTAAGAATAATAAAGAATTAATTATATCTATTCTAACCCGAGGAGAGTTTGCTTTGAACGAATATCAATACAGGAACGGATAATGCAGTTGGCAACAACCTTCGATTAAATTGATTAGAATTTCAAAGAAAACCGTTTTGAACCACCGAAAAATCATTCCTTATCTCGTTCTCGTGAATCAGAAAAGCCGCGCGTTGCATTGACCAGCGAACCCGCCAAATCGACAATTCCAGTTCAACCTTATCATTACGCAACATTAGTATACGCAGGGCAGTCGGAAAAACTCCTGAGTGACAACTATAAAAACAAACAGTTATATATGTATAGTTAGTAACCGTTAGCAATAAGACACTTCACGTTACGTCTACATTGTTTGGTGAGTGCGGTTGTTGAAAAAAAAGTGCTAATAAAACGCTATTTACACAAGCTATTGTAGAACTAGTATAGTATGTTCGCTGTAGGTTGATGTGCGAGATGTTTTATACCACGAAGCACCCGGGGAGTTGTATATTTAAATAAAACACTAACGGTTCAAAACGCGAAACATATTAAACTTGTAAAAAAAATTTCTATCTACGGGCCGACGTTTTCCCGTGCTGCTGCTGCAAAGCATCCGAATCATCGGGCCGTAGTTAAAATAACTAGTTTGAATAATATATTTCGCGATTTAAACCGTTAGTGTTTTATTTAAATATTATGTACTAAACGCGTAAACTACAGACAGTGTTTAAGCAGAGAATATTAATTTGAAACTGAAAAAAGACCTAGAAATGTTTACTACTTAAAAGGATTTAGTAGGCAAAAGGAATTTGTACATAAAGGGTACAAAATAGACCCCCCCCCCTTCCCCCATATTGAGATGGATTAATTTATTGTAACATAACCATGTGACCTAGAGCAAAAATACTATATTTCATTGTTCATATTACATTTCAAACAAAACATAAAATAACCACTCAGATTTACACGAATTTACCACGCGTACGGCGATAATATGACGCTATCAATAGAAGTTATAACCGCTAAGGCACTCGTCAGACTACATTATTGTATAGCATACAACATCGCTTCTTATACAAATACATGGACACTCCAATAATATATGTTGTGAACGCGTTCGTAATAGGACCATAGGATATTTGTAAAATACTGTCTGTAGTTTACGCGAGTAAAACACGTTAACGGTTTAAAACGCGCGTCAACCGTGGCCACGGCTGATGGACTATAGTTAAAAATAAGTTTAACTGATATATATCGCGTTTTAAACCGGTTAAGTGTTATATTTAACGTCTAATTTCATTGTGGTCTGACGAGAGCCTAACCTGTAACCAACAACCGCACACGTTAGTGTATTCATATTTTGGGGAGCTTGGGCGCGCTCACGAGGGGGTTGGCCCTCTGGAGGCTGGCCAGCGCCCCCGCCTTGTAGTCGTACGCGCAGCCGTGGACCTCGGCGTAGCGGTGCGGCGCGCACAGCTCGGCGCCGCAGCGGCAAGTATGGACCGTCGCTATGCTGAGGCGCTTCTTGCAGAACGCGCAGCGGATTTTCACCTTCTTCACCTTCTCCTCGGGGATTTTCTCCTGTTCCTAGCAATAAACCCATTTGAGTCAATATTATTTAACACGAAATTTGAATAGTTATTGATAAGCAGAAACGGGGCATATTCATTCTGTTTCAATCACACATTTGACAGGGTTTTACGGTTTCAAACGAGAAATTTCTCAGTTTATTTAAACTTATTTATTTTGCGTTTTAAACCGTAAAAAGTGTTTTATTTAAATGCGTAGTGGCGTAAACTATAGACAATAGACAATACTCAATTTACAGATAGGCTTGCGAGTCTTTTTATTATAAATAGTCTATTGTTAATTTGTTTTATTTCTTCTTTAGTTAATACCTGTAAAACTTCTCTCTCTTCTTGTTTGAACCTCTGTTCCATTTCGGTGATCTTATCGATGCGCCTCTGCCGCCGCTCGGAGCCCACCTCCTTATTAAGTGGGGGAGACCGCACCGAAGCCTGATGCGGGGAGGGCGTGTGGTCCAGGCGCTCGTCGCTTAAGTGCAGGTGCTCGCGATTGCGATGCCGGCTCAGCGCTGGCAAGATTCTAGAATATTTCGAAATAGTTATTCGAAGGTACAGTGAACCAACCAGAAGGCTCCATAATAGTAGTAATTATTTTCAATGATTGCGCACGATACTGTAATAAAATCCCCAGCAAACTACAAGCAATATTTAAACTTGCAAAGCAAAATTAATTTCTTCGAAAGAAAGAAAACACTGCTTAAATAGCCAATATACCATCACTAACCTATTTCTTTTCAAATGCTCCAAATCGGACGTGGACGACGAGAACAGCGCGTCGGATAGCGGAGGTGAGGAGCGAGCTGAATGGCGTGCCCTTACATGAAGCGCAGAAGACGATCCAGCTACACCACCGCCCCCTAAAGCCCCTGGCAGCCCCCCGGCCAAGGAGCCCGTTAGACCACCGGCTAAAGAGCCAGTGAGGCCACCAGCTAGGCTACCCGCTAAGCTTCCTCCCGCTAGCTGGGAACTGGACCCGAAGCCGCGGGCTCTCCAACCACTCGCTTCCCCCACAACTAGGGGCCCTGGAAATTTATAGATACCGTGTTGCAATATACAAGATTTCAGTTAATTCAGACAATAGTTATATAGCATTTATTTTAAATATAACATGGCCCAGCGAAGATATGTGTAAAATGAAGAAAGAAACAAAAAATAATAATAAATGAAAAATAAATTACAATAAGCGAAGATGGAAGGAGAACCAAGACATTTTGGGTTTTGGATATTCGGATATTCAGACTGAAACCAAAATGCTATTAAAATTCACGACGTTTTAATCTGTAGATAATTCTTCGTGACCCGGACTAGATTTTTGATACTTTACTTTGATTACTATGTACATATAGAATTCTAGACAAAATAAAAGTTTTAACTTTTTTTGAATTCCACCAATTTCAGAAAAATATATTGTAAGACAAATGTAACATGTTGGCTAAGACCGACCCCGTTGATTGTTGTACATTGCAACAATCCCTTCTATGATTCGGTGACGGTGAAACAATATCAAAAATCATTATTATTTAGAAATACTTTAATATTATTTTTATGATTATTCATATTATAGATCACCGAGTCCTTCAAATCGACTACTTGCTTGTATCAAAATCGATCGATGAAACGGGAACCTGCCCAATACCCTTACACAAAGAAAGGGGGGCGAAGTTTATCAAATAATAGTTCACTTTTCGTAACATACCATACTCAGTCGCGTGTATAGCGGCGAGGCTGTCCGCTGCCAGTTGGGTGTCCACATCGCCACGGGCCAAAGGGTCGTCCCGGACAGTTCTCTCCTCCTTCTTTTCACGCTTCACTAGTATAGACCCCGACAACGCATCCGATAATTTCAATCTTGAACTAAAATTAAACACAGGCTTAGAGTAAAAAATTATCTCTATATATCTTTGTTAAATAAACATTTAGAGTCTACAATGTTATTTTAAATGAGTAATAGGTTATGTTTTTTACTTTTTAACCCACTTGTTTAATTTTAACTGTGGCCTGACAACTAATAAATGTACTTCTTATTAAATACTAGCTATGCCCGCGATGTCGTCTGCGTTCCATCATTCTTGCGAAGTAATTATAAATTATGCTTTCATATTTTTTGGTCACCTTTATACATATTTTTGGAGTGAAAGCCCTCAAAGAAAATGTTCCCCGCTTTTTTCACATTTGCCGATGTTTCTTAGCTCCTATTGATCGTAGGCTAATGTTTAAAAGCCTTCCTCGACAAATGGTTTAACCAACAAAAAAAATTGCAAGTCTAACTAATAGTTTCTGATATTAAACAACAAGCATGTTCAAACAAACAAACTCTTCAGCTTTATAAGAATAGTAGTATTAGATTATTAGTAGCGTTTTCATTCGTTCATAGTGCATCAAGTAACATAATCTTCATAGGCAAAGAAAACCGCTTACCTATCATCAGGATCAGGTATATTAGGCTCAGAGTCAGTCCTGGTTCCGATGGGTGGCAGCAAGGTATACCTCTCGGAGAAGGAACAATCAAAGTCGTATCTGGTATAGTTGCCATCATAAAGAGCATCTTCTATGGGCGTGTAGGTCCTATAATCTGGGTTGTCATCTAGGAGACTGGGGACGGATAGGATCTCTTCGCTTCTAGTCTTCTGTATATCACGTTTTCCTGTAATATGTTGTTCTAGAATTATCTTAGGAATAATATTTATTGCTTGTGCCTTCAGGACCACTTTAGCCAGTCATCATAACCACTTAAGTTGCATTGGTGGTAAAAGCCAGTTAACCTTGGAGCAACGGGGTGGGTCTACGATTTCTTTTTAATACAGACACGCTGAGGTTCACTTCATGGGAGGTGTAATACCCCAGCCATATAACACAATAGCAAAGTGCGATGTCGATCTACTTTGGCTTAGGATATTTGAAAGCCACACACTGAAACCGGACCGCGGTTCGTGACCCGGACGGAATTGAGATATTCCTTCAAGCACTGATTTAATATGGATATTCCAGAGGCAGTCCAAACTGTTTCAGAAAAACTATAATCTGATTAGAAACATCTTGGACCAGGTAGAGATCGAACCCACAACCTGATTAATAGCCATACATTACACCAAGGGGCCCGTCAAAGATCTACTAAGGTTGAAACAAAATCTTAATAACTTCAGACTGTGATCGAATGTTACGTCATTTATATCTCCAATTTAGATATGAAGCTGCTAGAGACAGAGTAGCCTAACAACAAAAAACATGATTTTGAATAAGGAAAATAAAAAATCAGTTATATAAATATTTGTGTAAGAATTATGTTAACAAACCTCTGTAACTGTGCTCTTGTAGATTAACATTTTTAGAATATGAATATATAAATAACACAAGTCATAAAATTGCAGTTAAGCTAAACTGCCGCTAAAGGCCTCATATATACTCTTCGATTACACTACCTTTAAAAACACTACTAGCTATGGGCGGCCGGGTAGCGGTCAGCATGTGCATCCGATGGCGCAGCTGCATCATTTTGGTCATGGTGACTGCATTCTCGTGCACCATGTCTGCCACGGCTTCCGCAGATGGAGCCCTGGGCGCACCCTTCGCAGAACCTTTTCCGGTTGCAGCTCCAACAAAGGCCTCGTCTGTGTCGCACTCCACCAAGTGACCCAGGGATGAAGAGTCTACAGGAAGGTTTAGAAATAGAATAGATTTAGAATTATGTATTACCTTTTTTTATTTTCTCGTGATCTTTAAAATTACTTTAATTAGCGATAGTGTAAACCCATAAAAATTACGACACGAACGGGACTTGAACCAGCATCGATAGAGTTCCGAGCTGCTGCTCTAGTGTGCTGCGGTTCAAGTCACGTGTATCACTTACATTTGTTGTTGTCAATAGGAGAGTAAGTGCCATCCTTATTTTCTTTCACCCTGAGCATATTGACTCGCTCCCCCTCGCGGAACACAACAACTGTCACCTTGCAGCCACTTCCTGAGCCGCTGCTGCCGTCACACTCGCCCCTGAAATCAAACATAATTGGGTAACAACTAAAAATGTTATAAAAGTGACTGTAACCTGCATTGTTCGCCATTTTGCAAACACATTACTCATTGATTTTGTGTCATCAATTTGTTGTATTTTAGATCATAATTGTTTCGCTAACAGCAATGGTGGGCAGTGGGTTCTCGAAAGGCAACATGAAAAGAAAATAAAAACTACCATGAAGAAGTTTTAATTAAGTCTGTAGTTTACGCGAGCAGTATAAATATATATAAAACACTATATTATATAAGTGAACTTATTTTTATTTTATTTTAACGTCAACCCGACGTTTGGGATGCTTTGAACGTCGCCGTTTGACTTCTTCATAAGAGACACCCTCTACCTTCAGACCGGGTAAACATGGCTGCTGCGAAGCATCCGAAACTTCGGGTCATAGTTAAATTAAATGAAAAATAAAAAAACTAATATATTTCGCGATTTAAACCAGTGTTTTATATAAAATGTTTAATTTACCACACCTACCAAACCGAAGAAAGCTAATTAATATTTCAGCTAATAATCACCTCTTAGAAGCGAGCAGCTGCTCAATATCATTCCAGGGTTCAGGGGGGGGCAACCGCCGCGTAGCCACCGGGCCACCTCGAAGTCCCAGCACCAGGCGTAACTTAGCTCCATCACACACAGACTGCTCCCGCAGGGACCGAGCATCTTCTAATTCGCGTAAGTTGTACACGAGATGTTGTTGAGACACCGGTATACCTACAAGGAAGATAGAAATCCTCATTCAATTATGTAGTACACAAAGGTAAATAAGAGTTGTACAGACTATTAAGAAAACTCACAGAAATATTAATGGCCTTTATTATTCAGAGCTAGCATAGATTTGAATAAAACACTTTAATGGTTACAACGCGATATATACTAGTTAAACTTATTTGGATACGTCTGGCCATAAATAAATAAATTCCAGATAAGTTTAACTTTATCTATATCGCGTTTTATTTAAATATGCATTACTTTTATTGACCAACCCGGTCAATCCAAAAATGATGATGTACATAATAAAAATCTATGATAATTCTAAATTTTAATAAAGACTTAATATTTCTTTGAGTTTTATTAATTGTCAGTACTACTCTTATTTAAAAGGATGTTTCAAAATAACATAATAGTGATATTTATATACAGTTTGTTTAATTATAATTATTAAGCGTCTCGTCGCAATTTCTCAACAACTAGATCGAAACTAAAATGGTTTTCAGTAGTTAGCTACAAGTATTGGAAAATCTCCAAACAAAATATTTACTGATCTGATAAAAAAGAAGTCAAGTTTTTGTCACATTATGAATCATTAAAATTGGCTGAAGGCCAAATGTAGTCATCACTTTCACTTGTCTCGTGTTGAGCACAATACAAATATTTACTAAACATTGTATTATCAATTTGTATGTTATAATTATTATAAGTAAAACTTCTGATAATAATAATTTCAATAGATCCCACTACAGGACAGTAAAACAAGTGTCAAGTTTGTGACATATTTTCAAAGGGTCTACTGTTTTTTTGGAGACACCAATCAAAGGCCAAGTTATCAGTCCACCCACACACATGTGTCTAAGTATAGTGTATAGTTTACATGTGCACTACACATTACATTAAATCATTTTCAACACTTTAAAACATAAAATATTAACCAATTTTTTACAAGCCTATGATTCAAAGCTTTGCAGTAGCTGACCACTTGAAAAATGTGGATGGGAGAAAATGAGAAGTTATATCAAATACCAACCTAGAACCACCAAAACTACAAAATACCCAACTTAACTTTCAAAAGTGAATTTTTAAATCTCAAAGATGATATCTTTTAGCTTCCCACCCTTAATGAAAAGTGCCTAAACATTAGAGCCAGATACAAAATAAATATTAAATTAGAGAAGGTAGAAAACATTAAATTTATTCCAACCAATATTATTCATTATATAAGTATTTCACATCCAGAATGTAAAAAATATGATGCCTTCACATTTCAATCATACTTTGTGAGTTAGTGTATGTGCCATGTAGCTGGTCAGACTTTATTGTAAACATAGGATAAAGGGTTGGTTAATTTTGGTCTCATAAATAATAAACTTATATATATATGGTTACTTAATATTATAATTACTAAAAGTTTTTGAATTATTTTTATCTTAGTTTAGTAAAAACTATTCACCTGTACTCATGTCATTCTAAAATATATTTGTATTCAGAAATAGTTTCTAGGAGACTGTAAAAAAATGTATATATTTGCCTGGAGTGAAAAAGTTTAATTTACGCAGTATATAAGATGTGACAATCTTTGTTAAAATCAACGCGTGTTGACAAGAAAATAATTTATTGTGTAACATATAGGGCCAATGAGTAATAGTGGTAGAAATCCTATCTTACCTTCAACGCGATATATTTTCGACTTTATATCCAAAATAGTGTCCGAAGGAGACACCGTAATCTCGAATGCTGTCCCCGTCAGGGTTTCGACCAGCACTTCCATCGTCTGGCTTGACACATCCTCTTGAAACCCTTTTGAAGTATTCGACAGTCTCTCTGGGTATCCATGTTGTGACATTTCACACGCGATAAAAACAATTAACTATCTGCGCCACATTGCACTCGAAAGAATTTTTATAGCACTTCGATTATAATAATGGTTAGACACTTGTGACTTCACGATCACTTGATGACGATGGAGACAAATTTGTAAAACATTGATTTATATCGATTAGAAAACACTAATATATGAGATAAAATAGAAAACTAAGCAAAACAAATAAAAATTTAAAGTACTATGCAGGTTTATTTAGCAACAAAAATAATATTGCACACAACGAATGAATGAAAGAAATATTTTTACTCATTACAGTTATAGATTATAGATGACTATTAACAGACAAAGGTAGGAGATAGAGCCTTATTATTTTGCCACAGATGATTGCTATACGATCGCTGTTGCAGCTTATTATACACGTTGTATCACAGTTATAATTATTCCTATAATAACGTTTATATATTGGATAACATTTGATTAACTTAATAATAATTTAATTTAATTATTTATGTAATTAGTTATAACTTCTAATTCTTAGGTCTAGAATTTATAGTTAAAAGCATAAACTTTTTTTTGTTGTTAGGAACAAATAGCCATAGAATATAGTAGGCATTTTTTGTCTATAGTCTTCGTTTTTTAAACGAAGCTGGTTCTACAGACTAAAGATAACATGTAGTCTGCATCCTACAATAACTTCAAACACCAAAGTCTGTTGTCTATAGTTAAAATATCTTTCTTTTCCATCGTTCTTCGTGTACCGAATCAGAGGTTATAATAATGGTTCGTAAAAATTATAATGAAAATAGTTTATATTTACCTTAATAAGTGCTTGATCATGCAAAAAATAAATAAAATAATGCGGTTACGCATTTGCTAATCAATTTAAAGCGATTAATGCAATAATGTGCGTAGGTCGCATGTTGGTTGTGTTGAAGGCATGTGGTGTTGAAATAAAAAATATTTTCGCAGACTCGCAAGCGCCGTAACGGAGGACGTGCCAAGCATGGACGTGGTCACGTAAAAGCTGTAAGATGCACCAACTGCGCAAGGTGTGTGCCAAAGGACAAGGCAATCAAGAAATTTGTGATTAGGAATATTGTCGAAGCGGCGGCCGTTCGTGATATTAACGAAGCTTCCGTTTATACTTGTAAGTTGGAGACATTCTTTTTAAGACAACATTTCTATAAGAATAAGTATTTTTAGGCTGTAGCATACTAATATTATAATATAATACTTTGTGAGTGTAATGATTTTATTCCTTGTTTCAGCATTCCAACTTCCTAAATTATATGCTAAGTTACACTACTGTGTATCATGCGCAATTCACAGTAAAGTGGTTCGTAACAGGTCAAAGAAGGACAGACGTATCCGTACACCACCCAAGAGCAACTTCCTTCGGGACATGGCTCGTCCACAAAATGTACAGCGGAAGTAATCTAATAAACTTTTAAAATAACAGATTTGTTTTATTAAATGAGGCTGCTACAGCCAGAGTGCCCTAATATCGAAAACATGATTTTCAAAAAGGAGAAAAATACAACTGGGCAATGGGTAACTTAGGCTGAAAGAAATTGAAATTATTAGTGTGAGAATTATGTTAACAATCTTCACTGTGCTCTTGTAGAGTTACTTTTTTAAACTATACAAATAAGTTAGTATTACCAACTTTTGTTAGTATTTGAAAATTTTATTATATAAACAGGCCAGTATACATAATGACATTATATAAATAAAAAATATGTTTACATAGAGAAAATGCAGAGGACTTGAACTGCAGATCAAGCTTCTGCTGTAACCAATTGAGTTGCCACATCCTTACATCACAACTCAATTGCTGTGATGTCTGATTAAAGTCTTATTCCTGTCCCAGTCATATTTTACTTTTATGTAAATAGGTGTATTGTAAATTTAAGACATGATCTGAGTACTATAATTACTTATTGTCTTGAATCTGTCTGGCTTTAACTCCGAAACTGATTTGAATTAAATTCGGTACACAGAGATTTTAGAGTCTGAGAAAGGACGTAGGCTACTTTTTAATGCCAAAAAGGGGTTAATAGGGGTTAAAAGTTGGTATGGAAATTCGTGGTATTTGAAGCTAGAACAATGAAATTTTCTTCTTTGGCTCTTTGGGAATAGGAGTGGTAGTGAGTGTTTCGGCAAAGTAGCACTTACAACATAGATTGGCTGCCCTAAATGCTCCCTTACATAAATTAATAAACAGCATAAATATTAAAAAAATCAAAGTCACTATTCCACGAGGACGAAGTCGCGGGCACAGCAGGTTTTATTTTTCAAATAAATTTAGTAACAACAATTAGAGTAGAACTTGATATGCTATTTTTAGAATGTTTCAATGTTTATGAAAAATAAGTCTCACTGGGGTCTGATCTGTTAATAGCGCACAAAATAAGCTTTTCCTATTAGTACCTAATTTCATTTAAGTGTATTATGTCATACTAATATATATTACTAAATGTATTTTACAAAACTTGTTCATTGCTACAGTCTTATTAAGGTAAAATTAAAAGTTAAAGTTTTGCAACATTTTATTATTAGCTTACAGGTATATACACAATGAACCACTGCATGCCAATGATTACATTTTGTTACATCAAATACAATAAAATATACCGAAGAGCTGAAATTACATTACATAATCAAAAATAACATTTTATTTTATAATATGGAGTAGTGATACATATTATGGCCCTTGTAGCTTATAGATAGTTTTAGGTAACTTTTTAATATCCGGTTTCTCTGCTGTCTCTAGAGCTTGCTTTAGGTTCTTCTCAAAAACTTTCTTAGAATCACAGAAACCTTGTTTTGTTTTACCAAAGGAATTTGGACCTGCTGATGTAGGAGTCTCTCTGAAATAGTAATATTATTAAGGTTATACATAAAGAACCATTCTAATTGGGTTTAGTCCCTACAGTATGTAATTAAACTAACTAACCTGCCAATATTTCTCATTCTCATACGAGCCTCTGCAGGCATTTCTTCAGGTTCTTCGTCATCATCGTCGTTATTAAATACAGATGCAACAGTTGGTTTTGGTTTTACCCCTGTTTTTGGTTTTGAAGTTCCACCAAGAGTCATTTTGATAGGAGCTTGTGGTTTTGAAAAACCAATGCTTATTTTACTGATGCGTGGTGGGGGAGGTGGTGTTGGTAGCTCATCTGATTCCCAAGTGTCTGGGGACTCCCTTCTCCTATCTGATAAAAGATACAAATTACTACAAACATGAAGAAAAATGTTAGTTATTGTGTAGCTGACCTATACATTACAACCAAGTGTAATTGTTCAAGCCCATACCATCTCTGTGTGCATCCTTGTCTCGAACTCGCATGCCATCAAATTTATCCTCCGTAGTAGACCTCAGTCTGGTAGGTGATCTAGACCGCGTCCTTTCTCGGCCATAGCTCTCAGATCGCCTAGAATCATCACGCGTCGATCGAGATGACCCTGCCAATGTGAAAACACTGGCAAAGATAAATAAAGTATAGAACTGAATGACATAGAACAAATCGTCTAAGTCAGTTAAATATATTGTCTAACAAATATAAGAAAAAGGTTACCCATAGCTAGAGAATACCTTTGTGATTTCGGTAACGTTCACTCATTCTTAAGCAGCGATAAATGGGTCATGAATCAGATATACTGTTTTTAACTTTAACTTGATTGTTCGGTATTAACTATTAGGTCAAATGAATTAAACAATTAAAATCATCAAACTAAAAACATTGTTGTTAAAATTCAGCCATTTTTATTACGTTTCAAATATATCGTTTGGGAACTGCCAATATGAACCGGGAAGGTCAGTTGTCAAAGTCATTAGGACTAATAGTCTTTTTGTTGTGATGGCCATAATTGTGTCCTTTCCTCATTTAATAATTCATTATTTCAGTGATGCACGATAGAATACCGTACGAATGTTTTTTTCTGTTCATACATAATATTCCATTTTGTTATTCCATATATTTATTATCAACCATTAAAAAATAATAAGTCTATATAAATGGAATAATTTATAATTGACTGTATACTCTATATCTTTTGTTAATTGTCAAATATACCACATCTGGATAAACGTGCAAAATGCGATCATCACCTGTATAATATTATTGTTATTTTAAAAGGAATTGAAATGATATATGTATAAATTTATACTGTTTTAATTATTTAAAATTCAAATTCTACAAATAAACTTATGAATGTGGTTGAATGATAATATTTTACTATCATTCTTTGCACAGCTTCATTATATAAGTTATGTAAAGTAATTTATAAGAGAAATCAATATAAGTTTATAAAATTTTTTTTCATGTAAATAAACAATGTTATCATCTATTTTTAATCAACGATTCTTGAGATGTATAAGAAGTACTACAACACATTGTCGATGCAAAGCAGACGATGTTAGGATAGCTGTTAAAAATAAAATAAAAAATGGGCCAAGCCTTAAAGACTTCATAAATGAATCTTCCGGGTCTACTGAAGTTATAACACATCCACCTTATATACCTTACTTACCCGACAATATTCAAGACGCAAACAAACGAAAAGTTTTTTTCGATGTATATGGCTGTCAAATGAATTTAAGTGATACTGAAATTGTATGGTCAATATTAAAAAAAGAGGGTTTTGAAAGAACCAATGTAGAAGATGAAGCAGATATATTCCTGGTAATGACGTGTGCTATAAGAGAAGGAGCGGAAACTAAAATATGGCACCGTTTAGACCACTTAAGAGGTTTTAAACGCAGAAGAGCTATATCCAAAAATAGGAGTAGGCCTGTGAAAATTGGTATATTAGGTTGTATGGCGGAGCGGTTGAAAGAGAAATTAATTGAAAAAGAAAAGGCTGTAGATGTTGGTATGTTGTAATGAACTAAGAGATATATTTCTTTAGTTTATATATTATATATATATATAATATTTATTTATTTATTTATTTTCTATCGGGGACACCCTCGGCAGGACGGGTGATCAGTCCACGTTGTCCGCTGACCATTTCACCCATTTCCCCATTTCGTCCTCGCAGAGGTTTGGGTCATCCAACTCTTCCCATGTCCCCTTCAAACCTTCCGGTTTGCTTGCAGAATCTTATTATTTTTTCCATCTGTAGTTCTTTAATGTCTTCTACTGTAACTTCATCCGAGCCCATATGCATTTGTCTTAGCCTCGAGTATGCAGAGCATTCAGTGAGTAGATGGATGCTTGTTTCCTCACTTTCTCTGCACTCCGGACATAGGGGATCGCTACCTATTCCTATCATTGTAAGATGTTATATATATATATAAGATTAATACTACTAAAATTATATTTATCTTTCTAGTGGCTGGTCCTGATAGTTACAGGGATCTTCCTAGGCTCCTCGCAGTCACTGAGAATGGACAGACTGCTGTTAATGTTTTGTTGTCTTTAGACGAAACATACGCTGATGTAGTACCTGTTAGATTAAATAAAGATAGTGTATCTGCCTTCATGTAAGTATTTTGTTTCAAATAATTGGTCTTATTATGTATGTCTCATACATAAAAAGTTTTTTGCCATTTTTAATAGAAGCTCTGTAATTCAGTGGTTAAACCTCTGCATAGCATTGTATCAACTAAGGATCTATTCCTTGGTTCCAGAGGGCACAATAAATTTTCTTAGCCCGACAGGGCATAAAAGTCTGATCAAACTTGCCTGTAATTTGTTTTACAGTGAAACACCTACAGACAGAATGGTATTTTATTTTTAAGAAGAACTCTTAAACTACTTTGAACATCCACAGAAATAAAATTATTCTGGTGTCTTTTTTTTAATGCTGTTAAATCATTACTCTACTTTACAGATCAATAATGCGCGGTTGTGATAATATGTGCACTTATTGCATAGTACCTTTCACCCGAGGAAGGGAACGCTCACGTCCAATCGACTCTATAGTAGAAGAAGTTCGACATCTTGCTGATCAAGGTGTTAAAGAAATAACTCTGCTGGGACAAAATGTAAACAGCTACAGAGATGTAAGTCAGAAGACTGAGAAGCTTACTACTCGTATGGCTGAAGGTATTAAAAAAAAATACATATTTATATACAATAGAAAGGGTTAGTAGATAAAGTGAACTTTAGACCCTAGTTTTCTGTCAGTGTCTCTGATAGAAAATATAGCAAAGTCATGAAATTTGATTGTAGTTGATAAAGGGGAAAAATTTCATATAGGGGATTTTGGGGAAAGATATATAATATGGAAATTTTACCTTAAATTAAAATTTTTATTATGTTTCCTGAGACGTCCGAGGTCCATTATGGGAGAGAGTACATCGTTAGTTCCTCGCTTTGCCGCTAGATGTCGACCTTTCTCGATTTCCCACCGCCAGCGCCCCCTCCACTGTAACTCTACCTGAATTTGCCACGCACAGGCAAGCCGCCAGACTCTTAGATCATTGTTAATCTCATAATAAATGTGAATAACCAGGTAGACCTTGTCTGGACCTCGGACGTCTCAGGAAACATAATAAAAATTTTAATTTAAGGTAAAATTTCCATATTATGTGTTCCGTTAGACGTCCGAGGTCCATTATGAGAGAAGTGTTTGTTATCTCCTGGTGGCTTGTAAAATAGAACGCAACAATGTGAATTTAAATTATTTATTAAATAATCATAATGGAATTCAAAATCATTTTTTATATCATACAGTAGGTACTAAATATTATTTAATCATCACTAGGCTTAAAGTATTGAGACAGAGAATGTGTTTCAACACTCTGAGTATTACTCTCTACATTTCGACAATAATATCTCTTAAACGTTTGTTCGTGGCGCCAATTTGCTTTGGCAAGAATCTCATTAATGGGATATTTTTCTAAAAAATTGAGAGATGCCACAGCTGACCTACAACTACCAGGCGAGGCTTCTATGCCCGATTCTGAAAGGACTTTCTTAACCCAACCCCCTATAATAGTAGTTGTAGCCGGTTTTACCGGGTCCCTAGTGGTAATAAATAAATTAGTTAGGGAGCCTCTAGTAAACTTAGATACTTCGACTAGCGTTCTAAGCCAAAATAAAGGATTTAAACGTTTATCAGGACAATCTAATAATGTCCAACTAGTTTGCCTATACGATCCTGTATCCGTTTTAGAACCGAATACTGGGTGCAAAATGATTGAGTCACCTTTATCAATGAAATGCTGAGGGTCACAGTGCAAGAGAGTTAAGTCATGCACTCTACGACCTGATGTCAATAGGAGAATAGTGGCTGTTCGCTTCGAGACATCAAATAGACTATTTTCATTCGGGCTCGAATCTCTTAAGTAATGTATGACCGTTCTCGCATCCCATATTGGTAGCTTTTGAGGTATTGGTTTAGCGATGGAGATGGCTTTAAGCAAATGTTTTACCAAATTATTTGAAGAAATTTTTACATCACTTAGAGTTTCACAAATTGATGCTATAACAGATTTGTGCACTAAGATAGATCGATAAGCTAAATGATCATTGAGGAATAGTCTAGCTAAATATCTAGCCACATTAGTTGGCGCCGGGAATTGATAATCTAAATTATTTTCTTGACACCACTTCACCCATTTTTTCCAAATAGGAGCATAGGTTTTCCTCGTGGATTGCCTCCAGCATGTTGAAAGGAGATTTTTCTCATCATTCGACCAGTTTTCTATAAGCGAGTCCCAGCCGAAATTAACCATGCTTCCATTTGTAATTTCAACACTTGAGGCGGAGCCTGCCGTGTCACGGTGTTGATTAGAGTTTTGTCGAGATCTCGTATCATAACTGGATGAGCCAAAGCTCGATTTTTTAGATCTGGGCGCCAAAAAGGCTTCATCCACTTGGGTGCTACTACAATGAACCTGCCTTGCGCTGAGTTGAGGTGGTGCAATACTTGAGGTAGAAGCGCCGGCGGAGGAAATATCCACGCCAGGTCGTATTTCCAGGATCTGCTGAAGGCGTCGTGATAGCAAGCGTTCCAGTCTAATAAGTCTAGCGTAACATAATTCTCCACGACGTGTGCCTCTTTTGAAGCAAAAAGATCTATTTCGGGTGTTCCCCACAGATTGAATATTTCCCTGCTTGCCTCGGGTAAAAGATGCCATTCGCCGCCTTTGCGATTTCGCGAGAGATGATCGGCTTCCATGTTGTACATTCCCGGTAAGTGATGAGGGATTAGTACTATATTCAAACTGTCCGTCAGTGCCAAAAGTTCTTTGGTCATTGCAAGCAGTCTTTTCGACTTCGTTCCGCCTTCGTTTTTTATATACGATACAACTGTTTTGCTGTCGCTCTGTAGAATTATTTTCGAATCCTTCAAGGCTTCTGGATCCGATAAGATTGCAGCTATTACAGCATGCATCTCCTTCAGATTGCAATGCCAGGTCATTTGCCGCGGAGTCCAATGACCTCTGACAGATTTGCTGTTGACTAGAGCTCCCCACTGAACATCGGAAGCGTCTGTTGTTAGGTAATTTGTGCGACTTCTGTGCAAGTGGATCGCGGTCTTTTGATCGATGTTGTGCAGCCACCAAGCCAATTCTTGTCTCACTTCTTCTGCCAATGGGCTGCTCTGAATTGGACTCATCATTAAAGCATTGCTGTGTTGCTGTAGCGTTCGGCAGTGCAACCTTCCCCGGTGGGTGATGAAGGTTGCAAAATTGAGATACCCTAAGAGGCATTGGGCCTGCTTGAGAGTCCAATTGCCGGCTGACAGACGAGTCGATAGACACTGACGTATTTTGTTGATTTTTTCTGTGGGTAGGAACTTTCTGTTTGAGTTTGTGTCCCAAGTGATACCCAGAAAATCGATTAGTCTCGTAGGAGTGCATATCGATTTCTTTGAGTTTATGTTCCAGCCTAGATTCTGCAGAAATTGCATGGCTTTGTGAACCTGGGCCTGGAGGACTTCCCTGTCCTGGTGGACGAGCAGGTAATCGTCCAAGAAGACAATGACTCTTAAACCTTGACGGCGTAAAAGTTCTGCTGTCCAGTTTGTTACCGAAGCAAACATTTTTGGAGCGATTGCTAAGCCAAATGGTAGGCACGTCATTTGAAGTAGTCTTCCCTTGTAACTGACACGTAGGAAACATCGGTGTTTCACCGAGATTGGGACGTGGTAGTAAGCCTGGCTGATATCCAATTTTACCATCCAATCGCCCTGTTGTAAGAACTTCGGCATTTGATAGTGATGAAACAGATGAAAGGGCTCGGGTTTCATAAACTGATTTAATGCCTTCAGATTGAAAATCACACGATTCTTGCCGTTGTTTTTTCTTATTATAAAAAGCGGGGATATGAAAGATGGCGTCATGGGTGCAAATTCCAATACACGCTCTCGAATCATTGTTTGAATTTCTAGATTCATGACCGCTGACACAGGAGTCTCGAACTTTTTTAGAATATCCTGCGTAGGTATTAGCAAGGGTGGTCGTTGATTGAAAGGTATTCGAGCGGAAGTAATAATTTTCAGAATTGAAGAAGGAGGATGTAATTTCTTCCAATTTTTGCGATAGTACCTCAAACAACCGCCCGAAAATCCTTTTGAGTCATTTATGCTTATATTTATTAACTCTATTAGATTTGCGTCCCCCCCTTTGTTTTTTATCAAAATCTTCCGTGTTTTGTTTTTTATGATTTTGCTTTGCATTGTACTGTTTAACACGAAAGGGCTTTTCTTGAGACGTAGAAGGCATAGGTGGATTGCCGTGCGCTGGCGACTTGCCTCGCGTCTTAGGTTGAGACCCAACGATCTTATCAATTTTATCAGTACCACCCATTTTTTGTAAATATGTAGATAATATTTCCGGATTAAACATATATTCTGCAGAAGGCGGAATTTTGTCCAAATCTTCTCTTACATATTTTCTTTTTAAATTTGTAAGCAATGTTTTACGTCGTAACTCTAAAGCTTCAGCACGTTTTCCGCAAATTATTTGCAAAATGTCATGAGAAACCGCCTTATATTCCGAGTTTTGACCGAAAAATTCTTTTAATTTATCATAAATAGAAGAAGAATTAAGTATAACGTCCGACTGAGAGGACCAATCTATAATAGACCGCAACGCTTTGTTAACAAACTCATTTTGTGCTAAAAAAGCATTAGATAACGCAGCAAAACTCCGTTCCATAAGGTAAGACTTCTGACCATTTTGATGCTCTAAGAAACGCAACTCTTCATTAATTTTCAGTTCGGTAAAAGCAGGGAATGCCACATACTTCTTTTGTATGTCTACATATCGTACACCATTCCAATCGGAGGAGTTGAACCTCTGCATTGAAATTAACTTTGACACGCGATCAGAGTTTGCCTTTGGAATCTGTGGTTCCTGAACCGACACGTCTAATTGTGCAATATCTTTAATAATTATTGGTGAATTGCTAAAAGGATCGCTTAGGTTGACATTAGATTCGGTGCTCACTTTCTGATGTGAGTTTGATGATGCCACGTAGTTGCAAAACGTATTATTTAAATGACTTACCAACTGTCGAGACAACTGTTCAAACCTTAAATCTATTTCTCGAAACGAATCGCGAGAATCGCTGCGTACGTGGCGTTCTTTTCGTGGTCTTTTTGGCGGCGGTTGATCCTCTTCTTCGCTCGAACTAGTACTTGACGATGAACACGACTCGTTGGAAGACGCAGATAATTCGTTCTCAACGTGCTGAGTTGGCATCGCTGACTGCACGTTCGAAACACTTAATTGCACGGAAGACACGTCTTCACAATTTTTAACAGTTTTATTTTCTTCATTATACACGTCAGCACTTGTATTGCTCATTCTAACCACTTCACTTCAAAAAACTTTTATGGGAAATTCACTAGACTTGTAGGTCGAATAAAAAATTTTTTAAAGCAATAAAAATACTCGTTTTTTAAAGCTAGAACTAGCGACCGCGCAGTTCGAAAAACGACGCAACAATGATCTAAGAGTCTGGCGGCTTGCCTGTGCGTGGCAAATTCAGGTAGAGTTACAGTGGAAGGGGCGCTGGCGGTGGAAAATCGAGAAAGGTTGACATCTAGCGGCAAAGCGAGGAACTAACGATGTACTCTCTCCCATAATGGACCTCGGACGTCTAACGGAACACATAATATGTGGCTCTATTAGTTAGTTGTTTTAGTAAATCATACTTTATGTGTTTTCAAATATGCGTCAGAAATATGTATATATTATAAAAGATAGTTTAACTCAGCTTTTTGAAACATTTTTTCCAGGTTTCAAGACAGTCTACAAGAGTAAAACAGGTGGACTGAGATTTGCAGACCTGCTCGACAAAGTATCGGCTGTAGACCCTGAAGTGAGGATCAGATTTACTGCTGCTCATCCGAAAGACTTTCCTGATGAGGTATTAATTTTTTCTTATTATGATTCGAGCTGTTGGGTCATATAATGTGAGCTATCAACGCCAACGTGAGGATAATGTAAATAACCTTAGGACATAAAACTAAGCTAATTTTAATTAAGCGAAGATATACACCACATCGATTTCAGTATTTTAGACGAGTTTGTTGATGTAATGTTAGCCATGTATAGCTAATAATCAACGGGTCGTGGGTTTGTTCACCACCTGGTCCAATATTTTTTTATTCAATTTTTAAATTCTCTGAAAATTGTTAGACTTCTAGAAATTAAATGGGTGGTAAGAATATCCCAATTCCACCCGAGGCACATGCCACACAGATGATGAAGTTTTTTTTACCTACCACCAAGGGAACCCCATACTTGTTTGTACTCCTTAAACATGAAATAGAAGTATTACATCCACAAAAGTAGGTACTCAATAGTGTCATCTTCGCGTTTAGCTTAACTACTACGTTTGTATACGTAAAAATATGTTGTATTCCATTGGTCACTATTGCAGGTGTTGCAAGTGATAAGAGAACGACCCAACATCTGTAAATTACTTCATCTACCCGCACAATCAGGGTCCAGTTCTGTGTTGGAGCGCATGCGTCGTGGTTATTCGCGTGAAGCTTACCTCTCTCTGGTGGAAAATGTTCGCGCTAGCGTACCTGGTGGTAAGTTCAGGATTTAAATTCAACTTTTTCCAAATTCCTTTTGAGTCTATGGAGAACTAACGAATCCAGGGAAGGCCCCGTATTTCTTATAGGGGTAAGCTGAATCACTCTGTATTGTCTGTAGATTACGCGAGTAGAACTCTTTAAATAAAACACTTTTAAGGGTTTAAATATAACCAACTATATAATATATATAACTATGAAAGCGGGTAGGACTAAAGGTGGACGTCAAATCTGGTAGCGCCATCTATTGCGTTGTAGTTGATATTTGGAGAAACTGACCTTAAGATCTGACTCTCGGTGTCCTTTCGTTTACTTATATGCGCATCCGGAATGTCGGGCCGTAATTAAAAATGAGATAACAATAATTTTGCGTTCTATACCGTTAAAACAGATAAGGTAGTTAAATTGATTTGTTTCTCTTTGTCTTAGTATGACACTATTAAATGTAAACTATCCTGACATTTTATCTTGACAGTCGGTCTGTCCACCGACATGATCTGTGGTTTCTGTGGTGAGACGGATGAAGAGTTTGAGGAGACACTTACCTTGATGGAACAAGTCGATTACAACGTTGCATTTCTCTTTCCCTACAGCATGAGGGAGGTGAGTTTTATCTAAAAAATTAAACTAAATTGAAAACCTTAATATCTTTCACGTGTTATTGCACATGTTGGCACTATATAAATAAAAATCGATAATTATTGATTAGAGCACGGAACCCTGACGATGCCGGTTCAAGTCGTGCCCGAGTCGAATTTTTTTTTCAATTTATTTTTAAAATACACTTTCCAATCGATTAATCAAGAGAAAAAATTATGCGCGATACAGTCCAATTCGTTGCATTGTTTCCCAGGCATCGAATTCCAAATTTTGCGCAGTGCTAGACACTTTATTATGACCTATTGTTGACAGAAAACCGCTGCGTATCGTCGCTATAAGGACGACGTGCCAGATAATATCAAAAAGGCCCGACACGACAAAATGGTGCAACTGTACAGGCGAAAATGTGAACGATTAAACAATTTAGAAGTTGGTAACACCCACCTCGTGCTAGTGGAAGGGGTAGCACCAAAATCTGGAAAACTTATTGGTAGAAACGAGTTTTACTTGAAAGTACTCTTCGATCCAGAAGTCATCTCGGGGCCTGGTAAAAGGAACATAGAAGTGGGGGACTATGTCGCTGTAAGGATACTGGAGGCGAAGGCTTCTGTGCTCACTGGGGAGGCCTTGTTCCACACCAGCATTAGGGAGTTCTATAAAGACGGAAGTTGGGCTGATAGACATTCTGACAAAAAATATGACAACTCTATGCGACAATACTAAATCCTGTTACGAATTTTAGTTAATATATATTGTGCTCAAAAACTTTGTTTATTATTTTTGAACCTCCAACTATAAGAAGATATTTAAATAAATTATTAGATAAAAAAAGATTTAATAAAATACTTTAACGGTTTAAAACGTGATATATATTAACTATACTTATGTGAAAATAATTTTAACTACGGCCCGACGTTGTCACGGGGAGACCAGTTTATCTAATACATATCGCGTTTTAAACCGATAAAGTGTGTTGTTAAAATGTGTGCTATCGAGTAAACTACAGACAATATTTAAGTCATGACATCTTAAGCAGAGGTCGAATCCAAAATCAACAGGATACCGTGCTTGTGTGTTCTTCTGATTGAGCATGTGAAAATGTGTCTAAATGAAAAAGTTTTAATTTTCACATGTGTCTAATATCACATGTGAAAATGAAAACTTTTCCTACTTAAGGACAATAAAAATAGTTCTCGTCATTGCATCACTTGAAAGTGCATTCGTGTTTTAATCAGTAAAAAATACATAATTCAAAGTACAATAAATATACATAGTCTATATTACATCATTGCGCTTAAAAACTATCGTACAAAAATAGTGAAGACTTCAAAGTCATTTACAAGTTCATAATTATTAGCTCTTCATCAGCCTTTTAGAGTATTTTAATAAATAAAAACGAAAACAGCGATAACAGAAAAAGATAAGCAGTTAAATTTTATGAATAATCATTTAAAAATACGAAACTCCTTTTATTTTTCAAGACTATACAAAAGGTAAAAATATAATTATATTAATATGCATTTTCTTTGCGCTTTAAATTTTAAGATGGCAGTTAAAAAATCTGACATTATTATGTTAATATACTTTGTACTTAAATAGGAAAACTGTAAGTGTGTCGGTGCTGTTGAAGACGTACTCTGAAGTACCTTATACTAAGCTGGAAGTACCGAGCTGTTCCTTGTTCAGGATATTGACCCTCTGGCCTGAGAGGTTATCTTCAACATTCCCAGAAAGGCTCGGAGACGGACCTTGAGAACTTCCATACACTTTTGTGCTGTAACCTGAATCGTTGTGCGATTCTCTGTCCGTCTGACTCTGGGTCTCCGTCAAGTGTGTGTTGATTGCGAGCGATTGAAGCCTACTGTGCAACAAATTATGATCCGGTTTCCTCATATGTGGGTTTCGTCCAAAATTCGGGTACATTGGCGGACGGTTATCGTAGTAGCCGCGAAAGTGCTCGTTCTGGTTTGCAATTTCTATTTCCGTGTTTTGGTCCAAATGTTCGCTATAGCACTGCGGTATCCTCTCTATCTCCCGGATAATGTGGTCGTTCATCATAGCGTTGAAGACTCCCGTTTGATGAAATATTGGGTTTCTGTTGCGAGTCTGCTGCGCTTGAGGTAGTCCCGGTTCGTAGTCGTACTGGTTCTGACAGTATTGAGGTACGGGGAGGCCGGGCTCTATCATTTCCCGACGTGGAATTTGGTTATGGACCTGCCTATTTGGCAACTCGTGGAAGTACGCGTCTTTCGGAATGATGCGGATGTTTTGGGAATAGTTGCATTGTACTTGCGGTGCGGGAGATTGTGATTTTGTTGACATTGTTTCATAGTTTGGCAACGGTAATGTTTGCAGTAGGTTTGTGCTTTTCATCGGCCCTGGCTGGTTTGTAGTTCTGATGGGGTTGTCTTCTTCGTCGCTGCTTTCCGAGTTATTACCATTGTCCTTTTGAGAACTCTGGAAAGCTTTTCTTGTGGGGAAAGGGATGAAGTTTTGAAGGCTAAATCTTTTAATTTTCGGTGGTTTTTCCTTTAAAACTGGTGCCGGTCTCTGTGGTTGTTGGGGCATTTTTATGGCTGGAGGGAGTTGTACTTTAGGGGGCATCACGGTTTCTCTCTCAGGTACCTTTATAGCTAATGGCAATCGTTCGGGCGATGTACACCTTTGTTGTTGCTCAACTTGTGCAACTAGCTCCTGCACTGATTTCCGAGGTTCCCTTTCTATGACATTATCATGAGGATTTTGGTGTACATTTCTAGACATAGCGTTCGATACTTCTTTTTCTAGCATTACTCTTTTTCGTATGTCATCTGCTGTTCTTTGTAATACTTGACTTTTCCATGCAGGTACATTTTGACAAGAGTCACCCGAATTTATATGTATTGTGTTGTCTTCTAAGTTTTCTTTGTTTTCAGGTTTACTCCCTGTTGATAGAGGTATAGATAGCCGACTAGGAGATATGTATCGATCATTAGAAATTAAATTCTCAGGGTGATTGAGATTCTGAGGTAATTGATTAAACTTTACGTGAACCTCTGTTGGTAAATTCTGTTGCTGACCACTACAGTTTACGTGGGACCTTATAGTAATAGGGGATTTTAAACTTCTGCTAGGTCCTGCGTCTAAGTAGTCACTGCTTTTCGAATTCTTTAAGGCATGTCTTCGCCTTGGACTCCTCGGAGACCTATCCAATTCTTCTGTACTTTTAGATGTAGCGTTACAATCCAGGTCTTTTATGTGGTCACTACGGTCGGAGTGCTCTAAATGTCCCATCATGTCATGGCCTGCCCCCCAATCCTTTGTAGTTCCGTCCAAAAGTTCTAAGCTTCTGGTTCTTTTAATCGGTGGTATGTCTACAGAACCTTTAGGACTAAAGTCAAGTTTCTTCACTCGTTCCGACGCCCGGAACATTATACCCCTCGTTAGCCATTGCTCTAAATGTTTATGTCTTTCTTTACATAGAGCACGCTCTGCTGCAACAAATCGTGTTAATTCAGATATTTGTCCTTGAGTCTTCATTTCCAAATCGGTCACTTTTTGATCTATCCTTTCGTGCGCTCGATCGATATGTCGTTTCAAGTCATTCTTGTCCTCGTTTAACTTGTTCTCCATGTGTTTAAAAAATGGCGCGCAGTAACACGTGTAACCGGCACCTATGGGCCCCTTCTTTATATTTCCCGCTAAATCTAAGTAATATTGTTCCCCTTTTTTTAAAGGTTCGGTGGGCAGGGAACTCAGCTTAGGTTTCGGAAAGTATTTGGGGTCAGGATAGTAGTGGCAGCCGTACGGTGACCATTGTACTTGTGGTGTTTCAAAGTGGACATTTTTCTTCTTCTTTTCCTTGCTTCTGTCTCTCGCTTTGCCATTATCCGGTTCGTCTATACTTCGATCTTTGCTTTTATCTCTATGCCTGTCTTTCTTTTTAGGTTGTTTTGAGACTGGCGTGTTGAGTATGGCAATAATTTCATTTAGCCCCTTCCGTGTTGCTATATCTCTTGCAGTTTCGCCCTGATGGTTTTTGAGGGATTTATCGCATCCGGCTTCGAGAAGGATTCTGGTAAGTTTCCTACGTCCCATTGCTGCGGCTATGTGAAGTGCCGTATCGCCATTTTTGTTCTGCTCCGAGACTCTACATTGTGCTGAGATAAGAATTCTTGTGACACCCGCGTGGCCGTAACGCGCAGCTGTGTGAAGTGATGTGTCTCCATACTGTAATAACGAAATAAACTTTTACAACGCGGAAAGATAATTCTTTAACCGGGATTCGAACCCGGGAACTAATTTACCTTATGCAACGCTATGCATTACAATTCACACATGCAAAAGAAACTATATGTTCTTGTACTCTCATTTATTTAATGTAATTTTAATATCTTACATTATTCTGTAAGTCTGGTGGTGCTCCAGCGAGCAAAAGCTCCCTGGCAGACTGATTATGGCCGTTCTGGGTGGCAAGATGCAGCGCCACGAACCCGGCTGCGTTGCGCACGCGCAGATCGCAGACGCGGGCGAGAAGCGCTACGCAACGCGAGTATCCTTTCCATGCTGCTTCATGTGCTGCAGTATTGCCATGCTGGAAAATGATGCGTGCATTTTTTAAGAAAGTCTATTAACTTAATTTTTCTTATGTTAATGATTCTTATGTCAAACTAATTAAATGCCGCGTTATAGCCACTTAAAAATTAAACTACTTATAATGACAAGCCACGCCAAGCCCATTATTATTAATACTTAACAATTTATACTAGTTTAAAGACAAACAGAATGCAACATACATTCGTAATCATTTCCTTGACAATAAAGGGACTTTAGCTATAAAAGATATATTGGAAAGTTTCTAGCAAATGACTGGCAAACTGACCTTAACTTGATCTCTTGATTCATCACTATCTGTGACAAAACTTAATTCTACTTTATCTATAAGAAACATGGAAGAAGGAAATAAAAACGAATCAATCAACGAACGAAAGGATATATGATATAAAACCGTAAGTGCACCAGGGTTTAGGATTCTTTCCGTTGTTTTCTAAATGGTCTTCCATTGAGGAGTAACAGTGCTTACCACATGGTCTTGTTTGTTCGGATCAGCTCCTTGTTCAAGTAACAACCTAACAGCATCAACGTGACCGTCAGCTGCAGCTCGCTGGAGAGGACTGCAGCCATTCTGAAAATTGACAAACTAAAATGTATACCATAAAATACAGTTTGAAAATAATAGCAATATAACTGACTTTTATATGTAAGCGCTGAAGGATTACTGAATAATAAATAACTAGAGTCTTGTAGATTTTATATTTAAAACGTATATTACAATTTGACCGCCTCTGTCTTAGGTTAAATGGTTAGTTGTGTTAAGGTTCTGTGTTCGATTTCCGGGGAAACAGTAAATTGTTTTGGGCAGGGCACAGAAGTCTGTTCAACTACTTGCCTGATTAGACGGATCAGTGAAACGGACACAGAAATGTGTTCGCCCCATGCCCCACGAAAGGAACGGGATTTGACTATATTATAATTTACGTAGTGTTCGGTTCGAAAAAGTACAAATAATAAAGCATGCATTTTATAATTCTCATTCAGTTTTATGGCAACTTTTTGGAATATCGGTTAGTGGAAACACTGAATAACAGCGTACGATGTCCATTTGTGCAGCGTTTAGTTGAAGGTGCATCCAGAGATATCTTATTATGATGATAAACATTTGTTATAAGATTAACTTTACACTTGTGCAGTTGTATCTTTATTTCAATGTGATGTCGAATTGAGCCGTATCCGAACCCGAATAATGAAAGTTTTAGACAAATAAAACATTTTTGTTAACTGTGCCTACAATCAGCTAATGTTTTAAAATAAACTTGTCTTGGCGGCGGCAATCGTTTGTGGGTAAAACACTGAATCGTATCTCACTTTCGCCCATTAATTTAGAAAAAAAAACACCATTTGTTGCCTTTTGTGACATGTGAAATATTAATTCACTATTACGATTCTTACAAATTACTATGTTTCTTCGGCCTGGTTTTCTCTTCGAAGCTGATTCACTTTGGCGAAAGTGTTTTTTTTTTTTGGATCGATGTAATTTTAATCCGGTTCTATGATTCGATTCGCACTACTAATTAGCATGTTTTTCGATGCATTTTATATAATATAGTTTGGATAAAAGACGAGAAAAGCGATGACGTCACAGAGTAGCGCATTACGTAACCGTGGAAGTTATCACTTCCAAATAACATAGTCGATTCGTATTGGTTTCTATTATTCTCAACTCCAAATAGTCCTTATGATCTTTAATACCTTGTAGAGGTGATATTATTTGAACTTGTCAAGCGAACTCGTGAAGCCAGTTATTTAGCAGTAGTTAGTAGGAATAAAAACTGTTACATATTCTCCATAATTAGATGCCTCGCCTAATACAGTTAGTCGTTATATTCCAACTTGTTGGGCATTCATAATTATTACATAACTGCGCGATCGTTACGAAATGTCAGCCGTTTGACGCTTGACAAAAACAAGATGGCGGTTCTATATGGAGCACCTGTTTATCGGAATTTTTATATCCAAATCAACTCGGAAATAGATTTTAAAGTGATATCTATCTTGTTATCTGCTTCGTTATGTCTTCCTTCAGATTATTTAAAATAATTTCGATGGCGTCCCGATTATCGCATTCGTATTTAAACTCAATAGATATTGTACTGGATAGAAATTGTAAGTGTCAAATACAGATCGGATGTTTAATATTTCACTGTTCGTAACCTCTGAATGCGACGGAATATACCATCAAATTATTGATTGCTAACTTGCCCTTTGGTTTAATGTCTTAAAAAACTAAGCCAAATATAAAAGTGATTTTAGCATATAATAATATGTAGGTATAACAAACAAAGATAAAACACAAAATATATGGAATGTAAGTCTCGATACAAAAAAAATGTTCTGCATTTTAAATAAAATCATACTTAAGCTGTCTTCACGCTTCGATTATGTTAAAATTGAAAGTGATAAATATGGCTATATTTAAAACGTGGCGCGCTATAAATTATTGGTTCTCTAATGTTACGGTGCTTATGTGCTGAGAGTAACAAAATAGGATTAAGAAATTAAAGAAAATAAATAAAGTATTACTGTATCATTTTAATTTTAAGCATTGTTGGGTAGAAATTATATTGACTACATTAATATAAAAAAGAGCAATTATTCTAAATTTGAACAATTTCGTAACAAAGGCGGGGTTAGATTCTAAGCTTCTTTCAATAATTTAAAACGAGGTGTTTGGTATTTTTTTAACTGCGAATAATATACTTTTCAACCGTTAACAATGTTTAATTTAAATGTGTGCTACGCGTAAACTATAGATAATACTTTATTCTAAAGATTTAAAAAACTGTCATATTCCTGTACAATAATAATTATACACATATAAGAGCCAACATATACATAAATAATAGCAATTTACGTCTATTGTAATTCCGAAGATGATGGGAAACAAAAACTGCCAAGAGTCGTGAAGACATTAGTTTGCATGTCGTCAAGTCCCGTTCTCGCTATCGGCTCTGGACGCTAATACACAATGAATAGTGCCTGTATTACTGTTTACTAGTAATGTGCTATGTAACAAATCCCGTTACCCCATACGCGAGACAGAGGTTTGTCATCGTTTTTAAATCGATTTTATAAATGGACAAGTAGTTGTAGCATTTGTTGCCTCAGTCGAAGATTTTGTTTTCCCGGGATCCGAATCGAAGGCCCCCGCTTAACGCAATTCGTCTGACTGGTGAGTCACTGATACGCTAATAAATAATACTAATACGCTCCTTCTGTAGATGTTTGGTGACCCTAATATCTAACTCAATTCTGACTATGACTTTAGGAATATCGACTATCTTCAGTCCCCCGCGACCACGGTCGCTGTAAAACGTCCGAAACGGCCCTAGTTAAAATTAATTAACTATAAGTATATATTTTGCGTTTTAAACCGTTAAACGTGTTTCATTTAAATGTGTAAGCGTATATTCGCTTTACTATTTCTTCATACGTTTGTCATTTTCAGTTAATATCAAAATGTAATATTGACAGCTTTCTTTGTCAATGTCATTTTTGACCCACAACAGTGCATCTTGTCAAAATATTATATGGCTGGGTTAATTCACCTTTCATAAAGTTACCCCCATGTTTGCTCGTCCTCCTCTGTCATAAAAAAACAATGAAATTGGGTCCATAATCTTAATTAACTTAACTCCGTCTGCTACAACCCATACTAGTTGGTATAGTTTGTTTATGCGATGAATCGTTCGATTTACCGCCCAATTAGAGTCGGATCTCGGTTCTTACATAAATATTGTCTAACTAATTTACGACTACCGCCAGTACATGTGAAGCTTGAAAAACTACTATAAACGCGTTGTTTATGTGGGAGATCAGGTAATTTAAATAGAAAAACTATTCTTTATTACTTTCATCGCATTCAAAAGATACATGGGTCATGCGCAATCTTTGGGCTAATGTATTATTGTTTTTTCGGAATTGAACCCAGGAACCCTCGAGCTTAATGCAAATAATATTATCATAGTCACACTTATTGTGGTTGCGCGTAAGCAGCATTTATTTCTTTTAAATAGTCGTTTTAACCCCAATGTGGCAAATAAATAAATTATTTATATATTTAAGGTCGTCTTTTAACAACTATGTAATTAACGCCCACAAGAGGTTCAGCGTAGTATATAACTTAATAATAATCTTAAAATGTCCTTTCTTTCTTCCAAATATTAGTAAAGAACTATACTGAGAATCTCAAAATCGCCTTAGGGGTTGTGCATTAATCACGTGAGGCTTGAAAGAGGGGGGTTGATAATAATCACGAAAATAACACATTGTAGTAAGATATCTCGTGTATTTATTTCGTCAAACGCGCGATTTTTAAACAAATGGTGTAGATATTTTTAATAATAAATAATAATAATAAACTCTTTATTGCACAAACATAGACATAAGAACATGGATACATAGAATTACATATACAAAATAAAACATGTTTGTGCAAAGGCGGCCTTATCGCCTATGGCGATTTCTTCCAGGCAACCTTTGCATGTAGAAATAAGAAATAAAAAAGATAATTTTGGAAAACAATCAAAAATCAAACTTAAAAAATTAAATTATACAATAAAAAGATAATATAAACTGGAAATTAACACCAAATTACTAAAGCTAAACATACTTAATAGATAAAATTACACACTTAAAACCTAGAGAAGCATATGAAGATCCTAAATATGATTAATTCTAAAGCCAATGAGGCCAAGGCTAAACAGCAGTACCAAGAAAGTATTGCTTGACCCTGACCTTAAATATAGTGTGACTCTGTGACAGTCTGACTGTAAGTGGTAGCTCATTCCATAGGCGGACAGCCTGTACCGAAAAAGAAGAGTCATAAAACTTTGACGAGTGGATCGGCATGGAGAGAAGGCGGTTGTTAGTAGAGCGAAGGTCCAGTTCATGGGAGGAACCCATAAATATAAATCTCTGCTTTAGGTAGGAAGGAGTGCGCGGATCAAAAAGGATAGAGAAAAGAAGACAAAGGATGTGAGTATTGCGACGAAGTCTTATGGGGAGCCATTTAAGTTTTGAGCGGAACTCTGAGACATGGTCGTACTTCCTTAGACCGTAGATAAAACGAATAGCAAAGTTTTGGAGTCTCTCTAATTTATTAAGCTGCTCTCCTGTTACGTCTAGGTAGCAGACGTCGGCATAATCAAGAACAGAGAGCAACAGCGATTCGGCAAGTAGTGTCTTGGTGGGGATCGGCAGGAAATTTTGTAAACGTCGAAGCATGCCCGCAACTCCATACACCTTTCTGCTGACCTCCTGTATTTGTTTATTCCATGACATGGAACTATCGATATGAATCCCCAAACTCTTCACTGTTTTACAAAACGGAATTTGGGCACCGTTGATCAAAATAGAGGGAATGTTACTCCAATCTACTCTCGCCAACTGATATGAACTTCCAATAATTATTGCTTGGGTTTTGACGGGATTAATAAGGAGGCCGTGAGAATTTGACCAATCTACAACTACTTGAAGGTCGGCGTTTATGGAATTGATACCATCAACAAGGTTTTCAATTGTGGAATGAGTGTAGATTTGAGATAGATGAAAATTTAGAGGAAATTGAATTTATAAAAATAGAAAAGAGAAGAGGAGATAGCACACCGCCTTGCGGCACGCCAGCAGTAACTGTAGACCAGGAAGATGAAGTATCACCTACTCGAATGCACTGCTGACGTTCCGTCAAGTAGTTTTTAAACCAAGTAATAGCTGTAGATGAGACGTTAAGAGAAAATAATAGAGCAAGTAACACATCAAAATCGACAGTATTGAATGCGTTGGAAAAGTCAACCAGAGTCAAAATTGTGAGCTCCCTGTCATCCATAGCCATTCTTATATCATCAGTTACTTTAAGCAGAGCTGTGGCTGTACTATGACCAGATCGAAAGCCGGATTGATATGGATTGAAAAGGGAGTTTTTGTTAAAAAAGAGACACAGCTGTTGATATATAAGTTTTTCGAAAGCTTTAGCCAGGAAAGGGAGAATAGAAATAGGGCGATAATCATTTAGGTTAGTGGGATTATTAAGCTTCGGGATAGGAATAATAAAAGCTTTTTTCCAGACGAGAGGAAACTCTCCTGTTTCTATAGAAAAGTTGAGGATATGGGTTAATATAGGAGCTATAGAATCAAGAACGGGAAGAATCATAGTACGGCCAACACTATCAACGCCTAAGGCATTAGAAGTAACTGACGTGACCTTTCTCTTAACATCTACAACTGAAAAAGGAGTGAAGCAAAACTGAGGATAATTTGGAGTAGAAAGTGAAGAAAGAAAATTAAGTGTATCCGTTTTTATTGCTGGATCAAATACACTCGTAGGTGAGGAAAAGTGGCGATTAAGAGCATCAAGATCAATATTAGAGGATACGGAAGCAGAACGAGATTTACCGATTCCCAAAGAGTTCAGAAACTTCCAAGTTTCAGGACTATTCCCATGTTCTACTGATTTATAAAAGAATTGCTTCTGTGCGTCCCTGCATCTTCTGTTGCATGCGTTCCGGATAGCTTTGTATTTATTTCGATTGGCTTCGCTATTGTTCGACTTAAACTTGGCCTTGGCACAATTCTTCTTATGAATAAGGGTTTTCAGCTCATCACTTAACCAGGGAGAGGGGCTATGTTTTATTTTAACTGGTCTTATGGGGGCATGTTTATTAAACAGCTTATTAATAATATCATTGAAATTATTAACTTTGGAATCAATAGTATTAGCTGTTAATACAAGCCTCCAGTCAACTGTGCGAGCATCATTGGTTAGGTGAGCAACATCCATGGTTCTAAAGTTCCGCTGTAAAATAATTTTATGCTTTCTCTTAGGCGGGCGAATAAAGTACGAAAGAAACAAGAGATCGTGAAAAGAAAATGAATCAGCCGACAGTTGTCCATGTTTTGCAACATGGGCTGTTGAGGATACAATAATGAGATCGAGTAGAGATGGCGAAGAGCCTGGAAAAAAATGAGTAGCTTGAAGCGGAAGTATATTAAGATTCAAGGATGTTATAATAGAGTTAAGTTTTCTACTACGAGAATCATTTTTAAGAAGGCACGTATTAAAGTCTCCCATGATGATTGAGTGGTTATAAAGTGGACAAAAGTCTTCTAAAGTTTTTTCAAAAGTAGAAAAGTAGTTTACGTGCAATGAAGGTGAGTAGAAAACTCCTAGGAGCAGTTTATTAGAGGACAGGGTAATTTCAATTAAAAGATGCTCTGCAGCATCAATCGGCGGGGGTTGTGGAGAAGTACTGAGCAACTTAAAGTTGATATCTGAACGCAAGTAAACGGCCACACCACCGCCGACGCGGCCAACACGATCATTCCGCAAAAGGTTAAAGCCAGGAAGGAAATACATGGAAGTAGATAAGCAAGGTTTAAGCCAAGATTCGGAGACAAGAATAGCATGAACTGGACAGGTGGAGAAGGACGCCACTAAGTCGGTATAGTGAGCAGGTATACTCTGCGCATTAATGTGCACAACGTTGAAATTTTTGTGAAAATTAGAGAAAGTAGAAGTCAATAGGTTATCCAGCCGTGAGGTTTGAGCACCATCGTGGTTAGAATCACTACTATATGAGGTCGATGTAGAATCATTTAAAACGGTAACATTAGTTTGTAACATTAAGCTGTGTTGTAAAAAAAAAAATTAAATTATACAATAAAGAAAATAAAGTTGACCTATTGATATATACTAATGCAACTATTGAACCTATCCTACTTAAACTAGTAAAAACAAAGAATGCCTCATATTTATATTTACGATTTATATAACTAGTATCACTGTGCTGAAGGATAGGTATACAGCTTAATGCTATTGCTTTAAAGCTTTGGAAAAACACAAAAGACTTAAATAGAATCCTGTATAACCTACATAGACATTTAGCAAAGCACAGTAGTAATTTACAGTTATTACTGTACATAATATGTTCCCCTTGACTAGACTTTACATTATGTACCCGGCCAATTGCAACATCAAGCGATTGAATGACTACAACTCCAGGCAATACAATGATAACTTTAACGAAGACTAAACGTAAATATCCATAGAGAACACTATATAACTTAATATTATATTTTTCTAAGAATAACAATGCTAATGAATATAAAATCATAACTAAGTTTAAATTATTAATGAGCCATAGAAATTTCCAGAATAAATTTCGACCACAATTAGAAATAATTTTTACTCGAGAACACAAACTATTTACTGATACAATTATAAGTAAGAACACGCTGTCGTTAATAATTGCTAGTCGCATTCTGTCAGGCGTATTTTTACAACTTTTGCAAAAACAATGCAACGTAAGCACAACGTCCGCGATAAAAATAAGTGTCCAAGCATAATTATTCACTATGAAACATGAAAGTTTTAAAAGTATTGACTCCCCGCACAGACTGAAAGTACTTACGATGCACAACGTTATATTATATAATAAATTGTTAAAGAATATAGTTGTAAGACTTACAAGAATTACAAAACATTCTGTTATTATCGAACGCTTACACAACCAAAACAGCTCCACCAGCTCAACAGTATTAAACAGTATTTTACTAAGATTGATAAATTTAATAATAATAGAAATCAAAACGCGAAGAGCAAATACTAATTCCACTTCCACATGCCAGCACAATACAATTAGTAGAAATAAATAAAAATTTCCAAAACACAATAAAGGAACTCTAATCACTCTGGTCCTGAATCGAAACGGCACAGCCGAAAACCTCCTGCACATCACGTTCAGAGCTAATGTAAAATAATTTGGAATTGGGTTCGCGACGAGCATAGACCCGCCCACTGCGAGTCCACACATATCGCCAATTATTAGACTTAGCTTCCCGGCGGGCCATGAGAAAAAGCTGTCGATTTTCATGCGTGAGATGTTCATTCACATAGAACCGACTAGGCTCACCTACAATACCGGTCCCGGAAGTATCAGCTCCTCGCCGCACACGCGCTGCTTGAATGATCTCGTCCCGAAGCCGCTTGCGACTCAGCCTCACCACAACAATACGGGGGCGCACGGCTCCTTCGGTCGAAGTAAGTGATTTCTGTATACGGGGCCCGACGCGCTGTGCCATGACAATGTCTCGCTCTTCTAGTGTTATGCCAATTTTATTAGTCAAAGTTATTACGGTGTGCACAGGGTTTTCACCGCTGACCTCCGGCACGCCGGAGATAACCACGTCGTTAATAAGACGGAGTTGCTCAGATTCGTTTAGCCGTTTTTGTAATACCGCCACTGAGTCTACGACCTCAGGCATACGTGCCTTCTCCTGCATCTGCGATTCCAGAGAAGCAATACGTTCTTCAAAGTTGTCAAGTCTTCCATTTATAGCCTTGACGAGATTATATATTTCTTCTCTAAACCCTGACAGTTCAGACCTTAGGAGTTGTAATTGTTGCTCGACAGGATCAGGCGTTCGTTCATCCACGGGGGACTGCGCCGTAGGGTCACTGGACTTCACTTTCTTAGTCTTACAATCTCCACAATGCCACTTCGGATTATTGCGGGCCTCCGGACTGAGACATTGTTTATGAAATGGCACACTACATTTCGAACACTTAATCCCATCACCGATTATGCTGAAGAACTTTCCACATTTTAATATGCACTTATTAGACATTTTTATTCTTACTCAAAATGGGAGGTAGGCGATGATTTGCTTTATTGTGCAAACAGCTGTACGCGGTGCAAAATTACATGTAAACACGATTTATATTCACTATTTTATGTTCGCATAAATACTTTTTCCTTTAGAACAAACTTCTTACTTTTTCCAGTAGAAAAGACAGTATTTATTTATTTTTAATTATCAAGATGTTAAGAGCGATACGCGCCACTTCGTACACGATGCTATTCTACAGCTGCTTTTTTTTTATTATGGTCCTTCAGAATAAAATAAGATTATAGTTTATACCTATTTATATTATATTAGGATAATATTCAGGAAATTTTAAGATTCTTTGTAGGTACTAAAAATACACGTGATGTTGAGAAGGGGGAGGGGGGGTTTAAAAATTCTAAAAAAAGGTCACGTGATTAATGGACAACCCCTTACTTTTAAACTCCCAGGGTGTACTAAAATTTTTCATAGAAATACATTTTCGCGGGATTCAAATTTAGAACCGCGTCCTGCAATCACGTGTACGTCACAAGAGTAACGAGAAAGTTTTACCACGTATCTTTCCGAACTTTAAAATACTTTAACATTTACAAAATCTTACGTAATGTTATTCATCGATCAATTAAAAATTTAAAACAGACAAACTTTATTTAGATATATCGTAATGCTCCTCTCACGAAATCCATTCGTCAAAACTAATCTTAGCTGTCAGAGAGTAATAAAATTGATCGTTACGAGAATGTGTCTACAGATATTCTAGTGCCAACTTATAACCGTTTTCGAAGTTATTACTTACTTTTTATAAATGTACAGTTTCTTTTTAGATTTTATTAGCATAAAATTGCAATTTATTAATAAAAACGCCGCGATTACATCCTGAGTAACAAGGAAACACAGAAGTTTCGGTCGCATAAGGCATAGAAGACCGAACACTAAAACAGACACAAATGTGCCCGCGCCATGTATACAAGACATTTCTTAGAGCTGAAGAGTTTATTTGTTTAAACGCGCTTATCTCAGGAACTACTGGTACGAATTATTTTTGTGTTGGATAAAACATTTATCGAGGAAGGCTCTATAGGCCATAAAACATCGCGATGCGACTTATATGAGCAAAGAAACAGCGGAAAATGTAGAGAAAAAGGGGAAAATTATTCATCTACTTGGGTACGCAGAGGTTTGCAAAAACAAATTTTGATGCCCAAATTTTGTTAATATAATACCTAGGCATTAATTCAAAGTGAGAAATATAATGTGTAAATATTACTACATAGTAAATAGTAATCCGTGATAATCAATCATGTCTAGAGAAACGAGATCAGGAAATTGTCCGAGATACGTCAAGCAGGTGCTTACATTACAGCTTCAAGAGATTAAGCTATTGATGACGACTTAAACATACAAGATAATATATGAAGTATGTTATAAATGGTAACACTGTATTGAAATAATATTTTGGGTTCGTCTAATGGCAATTTTAAGATTTGAGTTATTTGTATTTTCAGTCTAAAAATGTTAATCTACACGAAAACTGAAAATTGTTAACATAATTTTTACACAAATAATAGTTTAATTAATTTTTATTTTCCTCCTTATTGAAAATCATAGTTTTGTTATTAGACCACTTTGACTCTAGCAGCCTTAGATATTTGTTATAATCGGCAAGTTCAAATATCACTTGGTGCGTGTTTCTATAGTCAATCGATGTTATATTATACGTGTAGGAACAGTAAAATTACCGTCCATTAAATAAAACATTTTAACAGTTTAAAACGCGAAATATGTTAACACCGACGGCCCAACATTTGATATTCTTTCCAGCCGCAACCACGGCTGCTGCAACCACCGGCTCAGTTAAAATAAATTGTAAATAAGTTAAACAGTATATTTCACATTTTAAACCGTTATATTTCTTTTTATTTCAATTTGTACTACTCGCGTAAACTACATATACTGTGAAGTTTAAATTTACGTTTCACTTTGCCGAATCGTCAAATCTAAAATGGGTCGATATCGCATTTTAATTAGATGCTATATATGGCTATGACAGATGTGTATTAATAATGTGTATCCATTTGCTATAATATATACACGTAAAATCGTACATATGTGCATGTATAACACATAAATATAAAAATTTATTGTATTTATGAAATGGGTCTTTTAAGAGGAACCTATATTTTTGGAAACTTAATATTTTTCACATGTTTCTGCACATAATGGCAAAATATCAATTAAACCGTGTCGACACGGTATCTGAATTGGTTAGAGCATCAGAACGGAAAGCGTAAGAGGACACCGGTTCAAGACCTACCCGTGCCCCATATTTTATCAATTTAAAATCGATTGAATACTGTCTGTAGTATAACGCGAGTAATACACATTTAAATAAAACAGTTTAAAACGCGATATAACTACCGACGTTTCGGACGCTTTGCAGCAACCGTGGTCACGGGGAGTTTTTAATTTAGATACCAATACTACAAATGAGACCACGAGCGATCTCCACTGCAACAAAACGATCAAATTGAATGCGTAAAATCCAATATTGAAAACCACCGCACCGTGAAGCTGTGAAATAGCATTATCTTCGTTTTCACCGCATTATTTACTGTTTGATAAATAATATAGATGGCGTGGTTTGTACAGCTATACTTGAAGGTTCGAAACGTCCCATGGATGATGTGGAAGACAGCGAACACTATTTTGTGTCCGTTTTTGTGGGTTCTAATTATAACCAAGTTAACTGTCTGTAGTTGGCGCGAGTAGTACACATTTAAATAAAATACTTTGACGGTTTAAAACGCGATATATTTTAGTTAAACTTGTTTGGAAATATATAAGCAAACTTATCTTTATATAATTTTTACAGCTCGACATTTCGGATGCTTTGCAGCAGACATGGCCACGCGGGGAAGTTTCCGGCATGTTGGGCAGTAGTAGAAATAACTAATATATTTTGCGTTTTAAACAGTTTACAGTAATTTGAGAATAGGTTAGTAGTTAGTAGATAAATACCTCAAAACATAGTCATAGTTTTTATTTATGTACTACTCGTTAAACGACATACACCACTTGAGCCTATCGAATTAATTTATTAATATAGTTAGATGAGGCGTAGATAAGGATTGTATGCAAAACTAAAGCATTGTTCACACCGGACCAGCGTGATCAGCGTGATCACCGAGAACGAACTTAATAGGTATCGACATTTTTATCATCTGTCATCTAGCGAGCCAACGCGGCGATCATTAAAAAACTAGTTCGAATCAACCGGTTCGCGAGTTGTACTTTTTCTTTAGTTTCGCCGTAACCGCGATATCGCCTCGCCCGACGCACAATATCTATCTACAGTGTTTTAAAGAGATAGCTTCCTTTATTGAGAGACTCTTGTTACATAACACGCTACGGCACCTTGTTTTGCCAAACATTAACGTTTAAGTTATCTTTTTCAGTGTCCTTAACCCGTTTTATTTAAAATTGACAGAAATACTTTATTGGTACATGTTGAACACGGAACTAAAAACAATTGAAAAGGCTTCAAACGTAACAAAGATCTACTATGTGAAATAAGCTTTGTATTTTAGAAAACTGGGCGCAAAAAAGCAAATAAAAAATATTTTTTGCTTTCCCAACCGAAAATATCCTGTTACATACATTATCATATAATGTTTCAGAGGATTTTGAAGTAATCTTTACTAAGTTGACAGAAGATGACAAACAAGTGAGGTTTTATTGACTTGAAATTAATTTCAGCTAAATGAACCCTAACGTCCTAGCTTTATGGCACTGACATCTATATGAGTAATGTAGCCATAAGTCTATTTTAGTTCGATATTTTCAAATTCAACACCATTAAACGCAATTAATTCTGCTAGAGATAGAATGGCCTAATAACAAAAAATCGCGATTTTAATTTAAAGGAAAATAAAAATGCGCAATTAACTTAGGCGAAAACGAATTTGTACTATTATTTGTGTTAGAATTATGTTAACGATTTTCGGTCCCTGTGATTTTGTAGATATCAAAACTATAAACATATAAATAAGTCGTCATAAAATTGCAGTTAGGCTACTCTGGCTCTAGCGGCCTCAATTTATCAATTCGAAGCAACCCTTTTTTCTTACACACGTTTTCTCAAGATTTATACTCGATACAACACTCGACCGATTAATCGATACATTGATTTATCGATTATTTTATATGTTGTGAGCGAAATATCGAATTTAATTATTCATGTTCCAAAGACGGTGTGGACGGGACATGAATTGCAGTACACATTGCAACTTTTAAATTCAACTCAGAATATTTCGCTTCAAGTAGAAAAGAGTTTTAATTAGTTGTTGAAAAGGTTCAGAATCGTCTGGCGGGTTATAGAAGTTTTGAAGGCATTAATTCGTTCACAGTATGGTGCCTGTAAAGCAATATACTCGGCTTGGCTACTGCAGCCTATTTGAGGGACGGCCTTATTGAGGCACGCACTAACGTTCATTTATTACATTAATTTGTTATGTGATAAATTACTGGGGTTACAATGACAGATTGCAATTAGATTTTTTGTTAGAAAGCGAATATATCTTGACAGCTACAGATTACGCTAGTCTGTTGAAGAGTATAATCTGTAACTGTCACAGACAAAAAATATTTATTTGACTAATTTCTACAGATAATGCACTCTATGATTTAAGTCGCATATTATTTACCTATAGAACAATTAAACTGCGTGTACTTTATTTCGTCATTAATTTTAGGTCACAATGCGAGAAGAAACACCTTTTTTCTTACTTTAGGTATAACATAGTACAGGAAAGTAAGAGAAAGGTGTTCTCATGGCCAACTGATCTACGATTTCGGGGATTATGAGAACTTACCTCATCCGTTTGGTCGAGGTTGTCTCCTGCGCGCAAGAGGCTAGCGATGCGCCCCGCGTCACCACGCGCAGCCGCTTCCAGCAGCGCGCCCCCCATGCGCTTAAGACATCACTGCAAAAAAACATTAAT